CGCAGTTCAGTCACATGATTGAAGTTCCTAATTTTTTGTGGCGTTGCGGCTCGTTAGAATTATCAATCGCCATCAGAATCATACGCAGAATACAAAAAGGAAGCGAATGAGCACTTTTCGGAGATTTTAGGGTCATTTTTTGGGGTGTGCCAATTTTTTGGGGTCAATTTTTCTTATTTTGGCTTTTCTGGGCAATCTGCTCGTGCAATCCTTGAACTAATGTGTATAGTATCATGCCTGAAGCAAAAGAAAAGAAAACCGAGCATATTTCGGGTCGTAAAAACTCGGTCATGTTTTTGGTTGACTTTGCTTGTCCCCGACTGTAGCACATGGGAGGTGTGATTTACTAGATGCCGTCGCCCAGAGAAAGCCTGGAATGGGCGCCTATCGTGGTCGCAATCGCAACGTCGATGTGGGCAGATTGGAGCGATGGCCACATGTGACATCAGCAAGCGCGGCAGACCAAGGGTAATGTTCTGAATGCAAATGGAGGCGTTCTGTTCCAGTAATTATTGGGAATTCCAAGACTTTCCCCCCCGCAAACTCCCTAGTTCTGGCCCGGATCTCAATAGAGCTGATTTGCAGCCAATATTTCTCTATAGAAACCTCGGTCAACTTGCTTCTCCACCAATGAGAGGCCGCGAATTGAGTTCGTCGCTGGTCCTCATCAGCCGCAAATCAGCTCTAATACCAGATCTCAATAATCATTGGAAAACAGAACAGAGCCGATGTGCAGCTGATCACTATTAGCGACGAATTTAATTCGCGGCCTCTCATTGGTGGAGAAGAAAGTTGACCAAGGTTTCTATAGAGAAATATTGGCTGCAAATCAGCTCTAACGTCTCTAATATGGACGCAACCCGAACGGTTCTGCTATAGGTGCCGCGTCAACCCAAGTCGTTTTCGACTCGTCGGGATGGATATCGGCGTTTCGAGAGCGTGATGCTTTCTGCCTATGGTGCTGGCTATATTCCCGTATCATCTGACAAAGTCCTGCATTTCTCGTGCGGTTTCGGAACGCTGGTCCATACAGTGCACATAAGTAATCGGTGTGTGAGTTTTCTCGAGCACGTGATAGACGCGCGTGCAACGCCACCCCGGTGTGGTGGTCGCGAGCCACCTTCGATCTCCTTTCGCGAGCCGAACCAGCAGTCGGCATCGGTGTCTGCTACCACTCTCTCTGGAACTCCACGAACCTACTGTTATTACTAGTGCGGGATCTAGCGACGAAAAATCCCGATGGCGGACTTGTCTCAACTTTTACTTGCATCATTGAACCCTTCGACACGCAAGGACGCGGAGGCATCTTTGACCCAAATCTCGCTGCAACCTGGCTTCTTGAGCCATCTCCTCAGGCTCGTACTCACTCAAACGGAAAACAAGAGTGTTAGGCTCGCAGGGAGCGTATATCTGAAGAATACGGTCAAGAACCGATGGGATGATGTGAGTAAACAACATTCAAACCGATCTCCTTTCGTTCCATGTCCCGATCTTCGCGTTCCATGTTACGTTTCCACCCTGTCATCTCATTCGAAGTCGCCATGAGTTGTTGATCCAGACTGATACATTATCTGACCTCGCAGGAGACCGACACGCCGATCAGTCCTTCAGACAAGGATGCAATACGCACGGAAATCATACCGGCTATGATCACTCTTTCGAGTGCGGGAGATAAGGCTCGCTATCTCACGAATCTACGCGAAACGGATGTGCTCATGCCTCTTGGTTCGTTAGGCGTCCCGTACCCAGATCGCCGACGCGGTGTCCATCATCGCGAGTTTCGACTTTCCGGAGCAATGGCCGCAACTCATCACCGTGAGTACGCGACTGATGTCAGGCGAGCGAGCTTAAAACTTGGTCTCCCGACAGCAACTCGTATCCTCTCTCTCGGAGTCGGACTATAGCGTCAACGTAGGCGTCCTCGAGACTGCTCACTCCATCTTCCGGCCTTGGCGGAGCGCAGTCCGGTGCGCACCTCTTTGGCAGTTACGACTGCTCCGAGGTTGAACGCTGACGTGCTTTCTTTGTGCCAATGCTAGATCCGATGCCTTATTTTCAACCATCAACCTCGTTCTCGCGGGTTTCATGCAACCCTTTCTCAACCTCTTCCGTCATACCTCATCCATCCTCTTATCCACCATACCTACTGTTTCTGGTCAAGCGTGAGTAACTGGCGTGCTCTCTGTAGCTCATAATCAACGGAGCACTCACACCACACCACTGGCTTGTTAGACTGCAGACTGTCGCGCAGGCCCAGAGTCTCGCCACGGACGTCATCTACGACTTGACCTGCCAAGACCTTCCGCCCGATGTCGAAGATAACTTTGCCGAATTCTTCGGACCGAGTGCGTATGCGTTGTGCGTTAGATTGATCCCTCCGTGACAAGCCTGTCGTTTAGATGGCCTATTCCTTCGTTTCCTTGCTTGGAAAAACGCAGAGCTGTCTGGAGACGTGAGTTTTTCTTCCCCTTCTGTCCTCAACTGCTTGATGAGAGGTTCGTGTCCCCAGCCTGACGATACGACGCCAAGTCTCTCCAGCCAGATCAAGACGGGCATTCTCGAGATCTCGGAGGTACGCATGGCTTGCCAGTTTCAAGGAAGAGTTGTGCACCAATAGCGCTTCAGATGTACACGAAGCTTTACCCGGAGATGATGCAGTCGTCACACGCAGTACCGTCGATCGTACGCGCCGTGTGGGATCTCATTGGCGCTGGTCAACTGAACGGTGTTGGCGATGACGGGGTGTGTGACCGCCATGCTCACAGCCCGAATGGTTCTGACTATGCAGTCCAGCTGGTATCTCAAGCACTGCGGTTCATATCGGCGACGATCCGGAGTGGGCACTACAAAGATCTGTTTGGTTCCCAGGAGACTATCACTGGCCTCGTGCAGGGCGTCGTGGTCCCGAATGTGGGTTTAAGAGGTGCGCCCTTGACTGGACCGTGATTCTTGTAAAGTGAATACTGAACGGCTCGCAGAGCACGAGGTCGAACAATTTGAGGACGATCCTCTTGAATTCATCCGGCAAGACCTCGCGCTACCCTCGCTAGGAACAAGCGATGCGCCGACCCGCAGGCAGGCGGCTGCGGACGTAGTGCGCGCGCTCGTTGCCAGCGGCCTCGAGGCCGAAACGACTCGGGTCAGTGTTCTAGGTTTTGTGTCGACGCCCGCCCTGCTGATGTTACCTCATAATCTAGATCGTCGGTCAATGGATAACGTCCGGGTTGACCGAATACCACTCCAACCCTTCTCAAAACTGGAAAGCAAAGGATAGCGCGATATACCTCCTTACTGCAGTGGCGACGAAAGGCAGCACGACCCAGGTGAGCTGAATAGCATATACCTATATTTCTTTGCTGAACGCCCTCGAACAGCATGGTGTCACCTCGACGAACGCCCTCGTCGATGTTGTCCAGTTCTTCTCCGAGAACGTTTTCCAGGACTTGCAGTCGTCCAGCGTACATCCTATACTACAAGTGGACGCCATCAAATTCTTGTACACTTTCCGCAACCAGGTAAAGCACCCGCCCCTATGCGATCAGTCCACTTTGCTGATCCCGATCCCGAACTCCGACACAGCTCAGCAAAGAGCAGCTTCTCTCTGTCCTACCTCTGCTACATAAGCATCTGTCGTCTGATAACTACGTCTGCTATACTTACGCGGCGATCACGATTGACCAGATCCTGTTCATCAAGCAGAATAACCAGCTCATGTTTGTGAACCAATGTGCAGCGCCTCTGCACATGTCTCTGACAATTTCTCAGGTTCTCGCAGACGGATATCCACGACATCGCTCCCAGCCTGCTGGAAGCGATTTTGACGAAGATAGAGAGCGGTGGCTCCCCCCAAAAGATCGCCGAGAACGACTACCTCATGAAATGTAAGTGCGAATCCTCGGTTATATATCGTTGTATCGTTGTATCGACTGATCCACGACCGCAGCCGCTATGCGAGTGATTATAACCGCTCGCCAAACGCTTACGCCCGGCTATCAGACCATCCTCCAACGGCTCGTATCAATCCTGGGAGTTATCTCAACGAATCCTAGCAACCCGAACTTCGACCAGTACATCTTCGAGAGCATATCTGCACTCATCCGGTCAGTCGTTATCTGTGCATACTGCACCAACTCTGCCGTTGATGCAACTGTCGATTAGCTTCGTTGCCAGTGGAACGCCTTCAACACTACCTACGTTCGAGCAAGCACTCTTCCCCGCTTTCACTGTGATCATCCAGCAGGACATTGATCGTGAGTCATTTGCCCCGATGTACGTCTTACACGAAGTTTCAACATCTCTTGCAGAATACATCCCATACACCTTCCAGATCATTGCACAAATGCTGGAACTACACAAAACCGACGTTCCGACAGGATACCGGGAACTGTTGCCTTTCCTGTTGACACCGGCGGTATGGCAACAGAAGGGCAGCATACCGGGATTGGTCAAACTGTTGAAGGCGTTCCTGGCACGGGATGTCCCTTACATCATCTCGAGCTCACACTACCAAGCAGTGCTGGGCGTCATCCAGGGCCGTCTGATTCCATCAAAACTCAATGACGTCTGGGGATTCGAGCTCTTGCAGTCCGTCATACAATATGTGCCTCCGTGAGTGATGTTCCAATTCGGTTTGTGGTATGCCAGAACTAACCAGCATTCATAGGACACACCTTCAGCAACATCTCAAACCATTACTGCTCACACTCTTGACTCGCATGCAGACGTCTAAGACGGACAAATACGTTTATCACTTCTCATATTTCGTTCTCTTCACTCTGGCCATTCCCGGACAAGGCTTAACTCCTGATTTCCTGATCCGGCCCATGGAGGAGATTCAACCTGGGTGCATATCGCATTGTTCGAGTACCCTAATCCGACTCTGACAACGCTATATAGATTGTGGTCGCAGGTCCTTACAAACTTCGTCGTTCCCCAGACGCCGAAAATGCCGCCCAAAGACCGTAAAGTCGCCGCTGTCGGTTTGACCAGATTGCTCACTCAAAGCGAGGTGATGTTCCAAAGCCCGTCGGTCAATGTTTGGTGAGTAATCTTGGCCTATCCACTCATGCCGTCGCTCATGCCGACACTCTTCGGTCCTCCTCTAGGCCGGCAGCCTTTTCCGCTCTCGTCCGTTTATTCCAAGAACCTCAGCATCTGAAGAAAGATGTCGAAGAGGATCCGGACGCAGGCCTCACTGCGATAGATTACGAGGAGCAGAACGCCGGATATCAAGCGGCGTACTCCAAACTCGCAGCGTCCGAAGGCGCGCCTGTTGACCCGGTGGCGTCCATTCGTGACCCTCGGGAGTACCTTGGCCAAGAGCTAGTCCGGGTTTCGAAGACCACCCCGGTAGTCAAGTCGTTAATTCGCGCAGGGGATTCCTCGGTCGTCACGCCGTTTGTCCAACAACTGGCAGCTGCGGGATTCGCCTTCTGAACAGACAGAGAAGCGGAATTGAACCGGTGTGGGCTACAGGACGATTTGTATCATTTTCGCGGGCAGTTTAGTTGAATAAAAGCTCCATTCCTGCGATCAAGTGTTCAATCCGTTGATCGTCCCCTAAGTGACAGGCTTCCATGAAGACATTCTCTATAATATGTAGCACTAGATCTGGAGACTACGATGAGGCCCTACGCTTACGATGCTACGCGGCCGCGAGTGTCCGAGTATCCGTCACTAACGAAGGCGCTTCATCCACTTTCGAGCGCTTGAAGGTCCCTTGCTGGTCAATCTCTGCAGATGGAGGTGTGTGTAGTCGCTTTGGTTCGCTGGCGACCGAAATTCTTGCATCCACCTCTGGGCTTCCAATCGAGACAACACCGACTTATTGGAAAGTATTAGCGTCAAGTTTGCGCGAACTTATGGCGCCATTGCTTACCTGCAGCGCGTTCTTCGACGGGCTCAGTGGGCGCTTCGCTCGAAGCTTCCGCTTGTTTTGGCTTCGGCGGTGGAGGGCGGAAATACGGTTGCGCCACCCATGAAGGAAGCATTTGCAGACCATATGCGCCGACTTGGACGACGTCGCTGCCCGAGAGACCTTTCGCGCGCGCTTCCTCGGCTGCGGTCTGATAAAAACATATATTAGTACACTGCGAGCTTTCGGCACGGGAGTGAACTACTGACGTCCATTCGGCGCTTCATCTCGACGATGACGTCCCAGTATTCTTCGAGAGCTTCCGCGCCGCCCGCCTTGATGGTAGCCAGCCGCTGTCGCAGGTCAGTTTCCTTTGACAGCGCGGGTCGAAGGAGCTTAAACAGGTGCCCTTTCACCGCACTCGGTGCGGTGGGCGTCTTGAGGTTCCTGACGATATCAAGATATTCGAGCGCGAGATCGGCATGAGCCGGGTGCAGGCCTTCGTCGAAATCGAAGGTGAAATGATCGTGGATCGATCGCGTTGAGGCCGAGGGGTCGAGGTGGGGGAGGAGCGGAATCGACGGGGCGGCTGGCCGTTGGTGGTCGCTCCGCGCGAAAAGGGCGGCGTTGTAGAGCTGGCCTTCGGCACTCATTACGGCGTCAGCGCCGGTTGCCTGAAGACATCTTACGAACCGGTGAGCAAACGAGTGGATATTACGGTGAAGACGATATCAGGAGGAAGATCACTCGCAATGAGGTAACGTACCGCTCGATATCGGAATGAAACAGGATATTGCCGTTAGCAAAGACGGGGACAGATACCGCCTCTTTCACGGCGCGGATCTTGTCCCAGTCGGCGAGACCCTGCATCCCGTGTTCAGTCAGACAGCAAACGCCGACGATGATTAGACGTACAGCATTCTGGCCGCGTTGCTCTCGTGTTCTCCCGTGACACGTAAGGATTTGAGCACCTGCCCTCTCCAGCATCTTCGCGTAGGCAACGGTTCTGCCACCAGGAATCAGTTGTCAATCGCATTGGGTCGACTGACGCTCTATTAGTGGTATTTCTTACTTTTCGACCGACGGGAAGACGCGAAACTTGGCCGTCACCGGTATGGGAATATTTTTATGCAGGGTGGAGACTCGAATACCCATCAGCACGTCACACAGTGCAATCAACCCCGATGCAATACTCACTGATTTTCTCGACCAGCTCCCATTCGTCTTGGAGAAAAGCCCCGTACTTTCCACGACGCGCGATGTCTTGCGGGCAGCCGAGGTTAATGTCAACTGCATCGCAGTACGGAGCGAGGTCCTGTTCGATTGTTCGAGTTGATGAGGGAAGCAAGGGGGGACTGGCTTGCCTGAGCAGCTGACAGAATCTGGTCCGGGTTATTCCCGCAGAACTGTACTATCAGAGGCCGGTCAAGCGGTCTACCAGGCGACAGCGAATGTGAAGTCGACGAGGACCCTGTAGACGATCGGTTAGCCCAATGCTTTGAGGTTGATGGACAGGCATTCCTTCCTCTTGGTGCAGGATCGAAAAACTCTGCTCGCGGAATGGTTTACGGATGTGCTGCGCCCACATCTAGCGAACGACGAGGTAAGTCCTTCAACTAGAGTAAAATGACGCAACGGTGTCGAGGAACACACCTTCGCGTTTATCATAGGTGTGTAGACGAGCTAGAAACCGCGTCAAACCTATGTTTCAACGTCACGGAAGAAAGTTTGACGCACTTCGGCGCCATACCGCCTCGACAGCACCCTCCACGCAAGCTCGCTCTGATCCACCATGGGAGCAACGACGTATTTCGGGCTTTTCAAGACATCCCGGTAGAAGTCATATCCTCCCGGTTTCAGTGGCGCCGCAGTCGCGCTTTTGCCCAAGCCCGGCTCCGTTGTAGTGCCGCTGGCCATGATTGTTACGTGAGATCGGTGTCCGATCCGGGAAGACGTGAAGAAAGGGGTCTCCTCTTTATTTATGGTGGTATTATATACAGCGCGCAGCGGGCGCAGGTAGCGGATGCCGGCCAGAGTCGATTTAGATTATCGGCGAACGCGCCGTAAGTGGTCAGAAAAAAGGCTGAGAGATCACGTGTGCAGATGAAGTTGATTTGATTCGGTTGGCGGCGCAATCTGACTGTGGGAAGATTTGCGCACCGCTGATGACGGAATGAAACACATTTTGACTTCGGTCCGAAGCCGAGTCCGAGCCGTTGACGTTCTTCCCCGCACGGATAATTCTCCCCTGTTTCGTGCTTGTTGACGAGCCCCTCGGTCATTTATATGCAGTTCGATGACTAGAACGCTTGCTGACCCTCACCGCTACCAGCTTCGCCATTCAACGGCGCAGATCAACTGGCGGCGTCCGCATATCTTGTATCCCTGACAACCTACAGATTTCACGCGAACGCGGCCGTGGAATTCAACGCAACAATTTGACACCGCACGCCGTTTCCTCTTGCACCAGAAAGGACTCCTTGGGTCGTGCCAATCCACATAATCCCTGCCTGTGCGGCGGCTTAGCGTAAAGCACCCCAGTCTAGATGCCGAGATCCGGGAAGTCACCACGGGTGGCACGCGCGCGTAAATCCGACGTTCAGGGCGCGGGCTCGGCACCCCGCATCCTATCCGTGGGGAAGGCAAGCGACAGATGCCCTGTTGATTTTGATTACGACCACCACCACGCCAGCACATACGGCTATACATACATGCGAGCGGACAAGGGCAAGGGAAGGGCTGAGCCGGGGCAGGACGTCGAGGATGGGGAAAGTACAAGGTCACGTGTGAGGAGAAGGAGGACGAGAAGGCAGCAGGCGGAGGGAGGAGGGGGTAACGATGGGTTAGTGCTGCCGTTGCAGCTGGTTGGTAGTGGTGTACTTGATATGTGAGTGTATGCGTGCTCTGTTTTTTGCAGATGCTGACGGCTGGGTCGTTCTTGAAGGACATATACCCTCCCAATTCTACTGGGCTCTCAATCCTCGAAGCAGCAGAACTTGAGCGTTCAGGTCGACACCGGCTCATCAGATCTCGTGCGTACCAGTCTATAGCGGTCCATCAGTTCCTTTGCGACGGTCCTTCACACATTCGCATCGCAGTGGATTGCGTCCGCGTCTTGTTCTTCTTCGGCTTGCTCTTCAACGAAGGGAAAGCTATATGATCCCAGTTCATCAACATCTTCTGGCCAGGTGCGCTTTTTGGACACTCTGTGTTCTTCACCTGTCATGCTCAACCCGATGATATAGACGTTTAACATCACGTACTTGGCCGGCGCTGCTTCTGGCCCCATCGTATGGGACACGGTGACTTTAGGCCGCGATGTGGATACAGGCTACCAACTGGACAATCAAGCCTTTGGTGAGCGTCCATGACCACATTCGGAAATCAAACCGACCTTCCATCTTTGAAAACCCCCTTTCATACTCTGGAGAGTCGCATGCTTACGAACGTCGTATCTATACCCGCAGCCGCTGCGACCGCAGTCTCATCCGAATCCTTGGGACCCTCCTTCAGCGGCGTCCTGGGCCTCGCCCTCCCTGCCGACTCCATCATTGCCGAGCTCATCCCACCGGGTAAAACACGCTCCTTTCTTACCGATCCTGGCTTCTGTACTGAACCGCTGTTCTCTGTTCTTTCTTCGTCATTCAGGCACCTCTGACGCTCCCGATGGCGCCCCGCTTCCCTCTAACCTCTTCGGACTCGCTCCCGTCAGCGCGGCACCGGCAGCCCGCTTCCTTGGGCTCACGCTCGAGCGCCCCGGGAGCGACCGCATACCTAGCGCGTTGGCTATTGGACGGTCAGCAGATGCGATTTAACGCTTCCACCGCTGACCCGTGCTAACGTCACCCGCGTTGCCTCAGACATCCGACCGCGGCTGATCTCACGTTCACGCCGAACCGCACATTATCGGACACGTTTTACCAGGATATCGAGTATACCCCCGTCGAGTCTGACCGCACGAGTCGCCGTGGGACACGGTTTTGGGAGACGAGCGTGCAGGCAGTCAATGTGCGCCTGCTTCTATCCGGGTATCGCTCGGTATTGACGTGACTGGCAGGTATACGTCGATGGCGAGCAACGGCCAGTTACATTACCGAAATCGGTGACCGGCGCTGTGTACCCCAGCGCGGTACTCGACTCTGGCGTTCCCGTTATCGTGACTACCAGTGCGATCGCGAATGCGATCTACGGTGCGATTGGCGTTGGACCGAACAGCGATGGTTCATGTACGTTGCCTTGCAGCGCTATAACCATTGTTGTATCTCATCGCTCGTTTAGATACTGTACCATGCTCGACGCCGTTAAACATGACCATCACCCTCCTCACCTCCTCTACCGAGCTTTCACTCCATCCCCTCGATCTCACTGCCTACCCCTCAAACGACGCCTCAGCATCGTATGTCGCGCTCGAGCCCGTACACCACTCGAAACTAATGATTCCAATAGATCCTGTCAAGGCCTTATCCAAGCCGACGACGCCGCGCTCTCCTCGCCGCTCTCCTCCCCGGGTGACTTCATCCTCGGTGTACCCTTCCTCCGTAACGTCTACACCGTCTTCGCCTACGATGCCCCCTTCTCGAACGGCACGTTCCCCGCCGCGACCGGCATCCCTGCTTACGCGGACATCACGCCTTACCTCGGCGTGCTTGGCCTCACAGATCCGGCTACGGCGCTGGAGGAGTTCAACACTGTGCGGGTGAAGAAGGAACCGCTGCCGTCGTTCAACGGCACGGCGGGGACCGGGTCCGGGGGCGGAGGCGGAACGACGCAGGAGAGCGGGGAGAAACGACTCGCCGTAGGGATCAAGGTGTTGATCGGCGTTGGATGTTTCTTTGCATTGGCGGCTGGGTTGTTCCTGTTGAGGTGGTTCCTGATGCGAAGGAAGTTTGCGAAGGAGGGCAGGAACTTGCCCACCACGTTTGGTGGTGTGCACCAGAGGTCAGCCTCCTGCGATTCAATTTGGTTTATGGCTAACGCTAACACAACTCTCGCCTGATTCACAGGAAATTGTCGAAAGAGGAGAAGGAGCAGGAGTCGTTCATCCTCTACCGCCTAGGCCAGTCAATTAACGCGTCAAACCCGAAGATGCCGACGGAGGACGACCTGCGGCGGGAGCGGTACGAGGCTTACATGCAGCGCGCGCACTCAAATTACTCCGCCAAGACGTGGGACAGCGACCAGACGCGCGTTGCCGCCGCGGGAGGAGATCTGTCGGAGCAGGACGAATTCGGGTGGAAGGCGTATAAAGATGAGGAGGAGCCTGCGATTGCGAGTGGGAAGACTCTCAAGCAGGAGTGGACGCTGCAGGACTTCATGCCGCATGACGGGGAGGCGAACGATGGTGCGGGTGTGGGGGACGCGGAAGCGACGTCACGCGCGATGGACGCGTTGGCGGTAGAGGGCCCGACAGTCTCCGCAGGCGTGACCACGTACCCTACTCGCCGACCGAACAGCGTTCTTGTGGACGGCTCGACATCGCCAGCGTTGCAGCACGACTATTTCTCGCCGATGACCTTTCCTCGAGGGACGCGGGGGAATTCGCCGTATGCCCCTGCGTCGCCGTCGCCGTTGGGAAGGAGCGAAACGCAAGTGGGCGACGCGCCGGCGGTGACGGTGCCGTTATTGGCGCACACGCGGAAGGATTCGAGGGGGAGCGAGGGGAGCGCAACCGGCGGGTGGCCAGGTGCGAGGATTTGATTATTCGGTACCTTCGGGACAGGAGTCGGTTGAAAGGCAGTGGATGGGTAGGGCGGGGTGCTGGGACCGCTGTGCGAAGGACGGAAAACTCGGGATGGGTTATCATTTCACAACGGAGTTGCATCATGATGGACCATTTAGCTGTACTATGGCACTAATGTTTTGTTTGCTCTTGTTCGGTGTACCATATCAGTTGGAACATACGCTTGGCAGGATGATGGACCTAATGATTATTATGCTTACTCACGATACTCGCATGCTAGCACGCATACGGTATACTCATTCCGTGTGCATTCGACGAAATGGTCAGATTTGCCTGATCAGCTGCGACGGTCCCCCTAATCCCTTGGCCTAGCCTAATTCTACCTCAAGTTGCAGAAAGCTTGCGAGCTGCGTGCGCGGGCCGCGAACTTGAGAATGGATGAGAATATGTGGTCTGCTGAGGAGACAGTAGTAAGGGTGCTTACGGGTCCCGTGTCAGCACTGTCAGCATTTTCTATAGAGAACCGAAGTTCTTTTGTACTCGACAGAAGCTGGATCCGATGAAATCGTACCGCGGCGATAGGCAATGTAGATTCCCGATTCTGAGGAGGAGAGTCGGTTGTGGCGCCGAGTCTCTAGGGACTTGCCGCCGTGGTGTCATTTCGTGGGACCTTGGAGAAGCTGCTCGGTGATGTCCTAGCGCGATCGGCCATGGTGGGAGCGGAGGCAAAACGCGCCGCCGTCCCGGAGCGGTGCGCAACTATGTACTACGCGAATTCTGGAGCCGGACTGTGAAGGCGATGGCGCTCCCCCGCACTTTTGAATAGTACGAGCTTATCAGATATTGTAGCCTCACACATCTTCCCTCCGAACAGCCTTCCGAGTGGGAACGACGGTGGCCTGTTAAACACTGAGCAGAGCCGTTTGTGGGTAGTTTGACCCACCGTTGACCAAGGCGTTGACTAATGAGCATTTGACAAGCAGTGTTTGAAGCTGACGCCAGCACCGTTGCGCCGTCAAAACGCGCAATTGGGAGGCGTCAACAGCCGTCAGAGTTCCGATTGCACATCGCATATTCACCCTGAGTCATGGGTCGTAGCCCGGACGGCACAGTCATGACACACGAACGTTGCGACACAACACGACCAGGAACGGAACGGACGAATAAGCGACCGGAGGCCGTTCGGGACAGGCCCGGTTTGGTTATCTGCTCTGGCGTTGCGGGAGCAGCTTGTCAGGTGCCTCGGCTTCATATGATATGCTGTCATAATAATGAAATTAGTGCATACCATGGCATACGAACGACGCATTAGAGCTGATTTGCAGCTGTTAAATATTAGCGACGAATTCAATTCGCCGCCTTTCATTGGTGGAGAAGCAAGTTGACCGAGGTTTCCCCAGAGAAATATTGGCTGCAAATCAGCTCTATTATCGTTTAATATACCTGCTCGCCTCAGTGAGCGCCTCGTCGATGGTTCTGCCGCCAGGTTCAATCCTGCGCGTCTGTCGTTATGAAATGCCGAGGACGCTTGACGGTCCCGAGAAATACGACTTTCTGGTCTTCGATGAAACGACTGGATCGACACCCTGTATCGCGAGCTCGGAACGAAGGGCTCACCGAGGGATAATGAGCCTGCATCAAATAATGCGCAGGCGATCTGCTGGTTTCATTTGACGCCCTTGAGTCAGACTCGTTACGAACATTCCGAGCTCGAAGGAGCTTGGGAACGGCGCAGGATGGTAAAGAGTAGATCCTGAGATCTAGCTGGTTGCGGCGCGCGGAGAATCACATCAAGCAGTGACCCAGCGGGATATGAAATGCACAAATTTTCCCAGAGCTGAATGGCGGTGACGAGGTGCTGACTGGAGGTGTTTGGGGTTCGACTCGGTGGCGCACGTATGTGGATCGATGCTTGGCCAAGGTTTGCGAGAACGCGGGCGACGACTTGGAAGGCCCAATGGGACGGGCTGTATGCGCATCGAACGCTGCGCCCCGGACACACCCAGCGTCGGAGAAGGCGGGCGTGCGCAGAGCCGACGGGGGCCGTCTGCGACGTCGGGGGCGGATTTCCCAGCGTCGGGGGCAGCGGTGAGAACGGAGGGCTGATGCCAGAACGCGGCTTGGCCCCTTTTGCTCCGGGTTTCCCAGCCGCCAACCGTTCCCGCGGAGGGAGAAGAAGGGCGGAAGCGGGCGCCATGATTAAAGCCAGTACCGTCTCTCTGCGTTCAGGCCTCTCCGCCGCCGCCGACAACGCAGACGCGAACGCGAACGCGACCCCGCCCTGCAGCGCCCCCCTGACAGCGCCGCCCTGACAGCGCCGCCCAATAGAGGCAAATGCCGCCCGACCATGGAAAGCCCGCCACCGCGTCCGCGCGCCGACGCCACCGGCGCGACGCGGACGACCTCGAGGCCGACTCCGGACCCTCGCGCGAGGTTGAACTCAAGCGAAGCAGGGGCGAGATATCGTGCGCCGAGTGTCGCAGGTGAGTGCGATGTTTGCGGTCCTTCTCCGTGCATCTGACGAGCGATCATCGCACGGCTTGGCATAGGCTCAAGATCAAGTGCGACAAGCAGATTCCTTGCCAATCTTGTCAGGTCCGTTCCTTTCCTCTCTCTACAACCTCGGTAGATTGTCGCTCTGACCGGGAAGCAACTCCATTAGAGGCGAGGATGCGCGGCGTTATGTCCGAATGGTACGTCGATTTCTCTGAGTATATGCGCCCATCTCATGCCTTTCTACAGGCAGCCTGGCTACTGGAGAAGGAACGCGGTACGCTCCGTGGTCCATTCGATTCAACTCGAGTCTGATCAGGCGAATGGGGCAGGTTCGTCCTCGCTGCGACCGAGCATCTCCACACGAAGATTGGCAAGATGCGCGACCGTATCCGACAGCTCGAAGATGGTACGCTCAGCCGATCCTGTTGATTTGTCGTTTACTTATTATCTCCAGCTCTCGGCAAGGCTCAGGCAGCGTCGACGAGCGAGCAACATCCGCTTCTTCACGAAGATCTCATCTCCTTTGACAAGGAGGACGACGATATGCAGCTGTTCGACCAGCCGAAACCCAACGCTATAGGAGACGTCGCGCTCGACCGGCTGGGCATGCTCTCCATCACAGATGATGGGATATCCCACTTCTTCGGTCCAACGGGCGTTATCGAGGTGCGTCCCCCTCTATCTCCTCCAAGCGCACGCGTCCTGACCCCTTACCTCCGCAGAGCCTATTTGCTGTGCGTATATGCGTGAACCACCCTGGGTACCCGCTCCTGACAACCTACATAGAACGAATCAGACAGCACGAATAACTCGCCCAGCGTTGCCAGCACGCAGTCCGGCGGCTCAGGTCGGGACTCGCTCTCGCCCGCGGCCTCTCTTCCAGATCCGCTCGCCCATCTCTCCCGCTGTTTCCCCTTCCGCCCTTCCTCCTCCTCCCTCTCGCCCACCTCCTCCTCTCCCCCCAGCTTCGACCTCGTGCGCGCCCACCTGCCCACTTACGCCCGCGCGCACGCCCTCTGCCTCTCCTACATCGACAAAGCGGACTGGCTCTTCGGCATCGTCTCCCGCACGCAGCTCATCTCCGAGATGCTGCCCGCGATTTACGCCAAGTCGGCGCCGTACCCGCCGGACGACTACAGCTCCCCGCACGACCTCGCGCTCTTCTACTCGGCGCTCTCCGTCGGCGCGCTCGTCGAGTGCGACAATCCGAACGGGCCCGCGGACGCGGAGCATTTCCAAGAGCTGAGCAGGGCCGCGCTCAACTGCCAGAACGTGCTCGAGAAGCCGACGCTGGCGTGCATCCAGACGTTGCATCTACAGAGCGTATACCTCCAGATGACGGGTCAGGACTCGACCGGGGAGCCGACGATGGAGACCGCGTGGAGCGTGCAGTCCTTGGGGTCGCAGTTGGCGTACAGTATCGGTTTACGTGAGTGTTGAGAGTGACCTAATAAGACCTTGAAGCTGACATATTGTGCATAGATCGAGATAGCGCCCGGTGGAATTTGCCGGAGAAATGGGTGCAACGACGTCGAGCATGCTTCTGGAATTTGTTCGTCGCGGACATATGGCATGTGAGTTCGCCGACTGCGTTGCTTCGATAGATCTGACCGATTTTTGTAGTGCCTCTCAACCGGCCGCCCACCCGTGTTCACGCGAGAATATGTCGATACTCATTACCCCATGGATCCTGATACCCGCGTCAACAAAGAAGGCATCATGGAGCCAGGATGTCAGTCACCTGCCCTCATGACGATCCAACTGTCGTACTCACCCACTTTCGATAGACTCATCTTGGTCATACCGGTTCGCCGCGGAATGCCTCAGCGACGTCGCGCGACGCACGTTGGGAGTCGACGCACCGAGTTACGACACCATTCTCGACCTCGATCGCAAGATTCGCGACTTCCCCATCCCGGGAAAGCTCTCTACTCCCAGTACTGACGGGCAGTATCCACAGCAGCACAGGCCTTCTCCACCGAAGGATGGAAGAAGCATGCCGGAGGACCTTCAGCGCTTCGTGCTGTCACACACGAAGGAAGTCAGTGAGTGTCGATCTGTAAATCGTCTACATGAGGAAACAGTGCTGATGACCCTTGTCGCTCAGTTCTGTTGTACATCCACCGATCATTTTTCGCTCAGGCCATCGTAGACGATCCGGAGAACCCGTTGAAGAGTGCATACGCTCCTAGTTTCCTGAGCGCGTGCAAGTCGTCAGCAACGATACTCAAGATGATCAAGGAGCAGTATTCTATGCAACCGCAGCTCTATGCGAGATTCTGGAGCATGGTGTGTATCTATCGTAACCTTCGCCATGATAGCCTATGTTTATCGTTCGTGCAGTGGACGTTTGCATTCACAGCTGCGATCGTGTTTGGGACGATTGTAATGCACGGACCAAGATCTCCTTTAGCACCAGCGGCAAGCAGCGAGCTCGAACAAGCGTATGACCTTTTCAATCGGGCAAGCAAGCACAGTCCGCGCGCCGCCAAAGCTCTCGTACGTGGCTTGATGATAGTTCGCTCCGAGATGCTCACTTCCCCCTCTCGTCTTCCCAGCCTATCCTTACGCGCATACGGGAAAAGGCTCAGGCCGCACTAGCAGCATCGAAGCTTGATCCTAACTCGGGCTCCGCCAAAGGCGCTGCGTGGACGACAACCTCTGGTCTAGACGAGATTGACGAAGTCGCGATTTTCGCTGGGAAGACTCGTGTACTGGCGCCACGAAGAATCGGGACCGTACCGTCCGTCTTGCTCGAGGCGACCTCAGTATCTAGCATGCGTGCCTACCCACCCCCACCTCCACACCCTCATGATCCATATTCGCACCACCATCATCATCACGAGCCGTACACAGCCACTCACAGTGAAAGTGCGTATCAGGGCGAATTCAATGGGGCTCATGCATCGAATATGAGGAGCTCGTTGAGCGAACCACCGCCGACGCCGTCGTCAGTGGTTTCGACGTCGTCAGACGGATGGATGGGGCCGGATCAGCGTCTCCCTTCGCTGTCATCCGCAGTCGGCCCATCCAGCTACCCGCATCACCCTACGCCTCAGCATCATCATCTTCACCTTCAACACCCACAACATCAACATCAACCTACCACCCCTAACGGTCGAGAGCAGCAATATTACATCACGCCGCCCTCGTATGACCAGAATCAGCACTACGCGCCGCCGTCAACGCGCGTGCCACACTATGACCAGAACGGCTATAGCACTCCTGTACCGCATGAACCACTGGGCGTCGTTGCTCCGGATCCGTATCACGCTCTCGACCCGCGCAACCCACAGGCGCAAATTCAGTCGTCGACCCCGGACGTGCCTGCATACCCGAATATACCCCAGAATTATTCGCCGCCCCACGAACTGGCCAACCTCGGCCTAGCGTCGCGCGAGTCACGCCTCGACGAGAGGTGGATGGCGTTCATGCATAATTCGGGATACTTCTGAGCTCTGGACCGCATACACTGATATTCATCGTTGTGCTCGGCTTATATGTCAAACTAATGTAACTAATAGGTATTCGGCGTTTCGTTCTTGGTTGATCCTCCGTAGATGACTGCTCTTTGTCGATCGCGTTACGCGCACGTCGACGGTAGCTTTGTCACGTCGCGGGGTATGTCTTGCATACTTGGCTAGTTGGTTGTGAGAATCTTGCGTACCTAGCGGCCGCAATATTGAGTAGCGGCGTTTACACTGCCCATAGGTCAAGCATCAAGCGTATGTTAGCATTCTGAATGCGTGCCAATACATCTTGGACGTGGCCGATTCTCAGCGGTTGCGCGTCCATGTGTATATGAATTGTGGATCCGCTCGCTCTACGGCCTTGCCGCTCAATGATGGCATCGACTTATCTCACTTTTGTCCTGGCTTAATGGAGCAGCCTGCGACGACTCGCGATTATCGTAAAAGTGAGATTTGAATCATTACTATGTAGTAGGGCATTCACAGTCAGAAGTGCTGTTGATAGCCAGGCAACGACGAGAGAAGGAGATTGCAGCACCCATTTATTTCCAGGACCGCTTCTTAACAGACTCTTTCGAAGCCTTCTTGATTACAGGCTTGCCATCGACCGCTTTCTTTGATGCGCCGAGCTTGTACAGCCTGTCGGGTGCTGCTATCTTCATCCCTGTATGCATGCCTGCGACTGCGTCTGTACCCCACTGACGGCAGCTTGCTGTGTAAACTGGACGATCCCCAGCGTGTGAGTTCTAGCTGAGAAGGTTCAATGTTAATCATTCCTTAGTAGTCAAAATTCATTTCCAGGTTATCGTTTTCTCATCAGGAAAAACCTCAGTCAATAACCGTCACTAATTTAGTGACCATCGCGTGCAGGTCGTGCTAAACACACTTATATACTCACTACCTGGTAAGGGTCACTAATCGTTGCTAATGTCGGCTGTCGTGGGATACATGATCTTATAGCACCGAGTGTGATTCACGCTATTTATCTAACGTGCATAGTAATGAGTTGATGATTATGTAGAGTACATCGTCGTGAGTGCAGGAACGCGGTGGTCTTCATGCTTAGCCCACGATCTTTTGGTTTGTAATTAACATTGTGGAGCAGCATGAGCTTGCATACAAGCCGGATTGGCGACCCGGCCGCCGCGTTGCATGCATTATTTGTGGAAGAGTAAGCCATTCTTCGTGCCGGCCCATCGAGGGTAGTATCTGGAATGGAGCGACATCAGACAGAATTAGTCCCGTACATCGGAACGGCAGCTCGTGAGCGTAAATGGAGTTCTTCGTGTGATATGACATGCCGTCGAGAACGGTAGCTACTCGAGATACATCAAACTGGCGGGCATAGTCAGATATGGCATCATATATGTAACCAATTAGTCGTGTACAGACGGGGCACTTTGGGGCGAGCACTATGCATAGCATCATTCACCAACGAGAGGTGGAATGTCGAAGCTTTGATTCTGAAGCGCAATCCGACCTAGCGAGATGCATCCAAATTGGGATGCACAATCACTGCCACGTGCTCCTGGGAAATGACACGCTGGCAACTCGCCTTTGAGCGCATTCACTCTTTCCCGCTCCATTTTACGCTAGGTCTCTTCGATTCATGGTGCTATGCTATCAGTAATGCTTGCCGAGATGCTTACAACAAATAGCGGGTCACCTCTACCTCTAGCCAGGGAATGTCATCTTGAATCACACCGGCGAAAGTGACTACCACATCTGACGCAAACTCGGTATACAGTAAGCTGCTGCTTCCCTGTCTGCCCACGGTGAATCGGTCTCGGTGCATTGGCAACAGATCGAAAGTAAGTGGTTTACATACATGATGCCATATCTGACGATGCCCGCCAATTTGATATAGCTCGAGTAGCCACCACTCTCGACGGCACGGCACGAAGAATTCCACATGGCTCGCAAACTGTTGTTTGTATGCAACTGACTGGCTCGGTCCCACGTCGTTCTACGCGAGTCACCGTTCTCGACGGCAGGGCACAAAGAACACCGTACTCGTTCATGAAGTCGGGTTTTGATCGACACCGCCGCCGTTAAGGGAGAACGATGAATAGCCTGGAGTGGTTGATGATAACGAATGACAGGATATGTGCGTATCCGTCAGCGCATGCTGATAGCCTAGACCTTCCAGGATCGCTAACTATCGCTTGTATTAGATGGTTCGCGCGCGTGAAGACTTGGTTTTGACTCTATTATCGACACTGGCATCTATCATCACATTGCCCCTGAGTGTTGTCATCCTTGCAATTGCCGATGCCATGAACATTACCACTGATCCTGCGTTTCAACAGCACATCGCTGTGAGGATTTGTCACGGCGCAAGTGTATCTCATTCGCGCATCATGTAATGACGATAGAAGCCAACGTCGCGCACAACCACAGTGGGTGATGGCGCCTATGTAAATAATGCTAGAAGTCCTTCGTAGGGGTCTCTCTATCTCTAGCATTGTTAACTGCCGTAGACATCATAATAATGATAATCCATGGATTTTGGCCTACTCCACTGTGCTCATGTTCTGTGAAGCCGGTATAATGGCGACTAATGCCTGATATAAGAGATGCGCATTATTGTCCAGTTAGTGATCTCAAGTGAGGGATAGTGGGTCCTGAGCGCACCGTAAGCCAGACTTCAGTACTTACAACTACAAAGCAAGCATTAATTAGCGAGGGGGGTAAAAAATCCCACTAACTGCGCTAATTCACTTAGGGACGACAATTACTACTTATAAGCGGCCATTACTGAAGGAGGTTTTTCCTGATGCTGGGGCAAGTCAAGTGATAAGGGCAAGCACGGTAGCGCCGCCAAGATAGGCCACGTCTCGGTCAGGTTCAGAGGCAATACAGAGAACGATCAATGGGAGGTCACCAAGTTGAGCTTATACCTCCCATTCACTTCCTGTTCCATGAACTGATCGACAGTGTAATCGGTCGAGTTCAACAGTTCAGCTCTAGGGAATGGCTTTCCGTTTTGGAGGTCACCGTGTAGGCGGTGGTGTGCCCCGTGCGTGGATAGGATGTCGTCGTAGGGCACATGGCTCATAAAATAGAGGACCTTCCAATCACGCGCCAAAGCGACATCCTGGCGTGATTGGCCTTGGAAGAGATCTTCGACGTAGGCTTTCTCCGATGATTTCAGAATATCCCAGACTTCCGTGAGCGGTGCCACAGGTAGATCGAATACTTTATCGCTTGTAACGGGTCATTCAGCAGGCGTAGACACGTTCAACGAAAGGGTAGACTAACCTACGATCCATATAATCCTTGGCAATCCTGGCTTGGTCGGACATGTTGCTTGTGACTTGCTGGAAGTTCTGCAAACAGAGGGTGTTACTGGTCTCCCCGCTGCGAATGCTGCCTTTCTTATACGTACGTGGGTGAAATAGCTCATACATCCATTCCCGCGACTGACCCGCTACCCGCAAAACCATAATGTCAAACTTGTGGCAGACACTCTAGTCGCTCCAGCCTCATTGCCGTGAAACACGGATGCAGGTAACAATCTGGTCTGGCGCGTTCAAGCTTATCTGAGGCAGCTTCGAGGTGTCGACGGCGGTTTTCAAGGAGCATTTCACAATATTTACCACGGGAAATCATTGGCACAGGACCGGACGCGCAACACTCAACAATGATCTCAGTCTCTCTCTACCCAGACTTATGGGGAAAGTAGCATGTATCATACCACACCTTGAATGTGGGGCTTGCGCTTTGGGGTGTTTAACGTTCAGGATGTGAAGGTCAAACAGAACATGGTATACGACGTTCATGAGATAATAGTCTATTTGCATAGAATAAGTAGGAAAATCCGTATGGGTTACGAGTTCCACAGGATATTCCCCGGCGCTCCAGGTCGTTTTTCGGCGCTCCTTTAACCTGTTGGCATGCCGAAGACAAAGGCTTGCAACCTGCGTTGCGGCACATATTTGGCACTGTCTGTTGCGTCACTAGCTGTCCTATACAAGTTATGAGGCATCGTAATTGAGAATTATCACCACTCTACTCCCGACACAGCCTACAGGCACATACTAGTAGGATCATTCGTCCATTCCGCCTACCCCAATAACCGCGAAACTGCTTGTTTCCGCACCAGCTCGCCCCTAACCCTGGTGTTGGCTTGAAGAGATATTGGTAGATGGGTTTTATTCACGGTGTTTCTTATTAGGCTACGGTGCGTCCGATGGACCTCATTTGCGTCCGGACAAATCGGGCTCGCTTTCCGAACCGGAGCAAACTAGAGACCCTCCGACCATTTCCGGAGGGACTCTAGTTTGCTCCGGTTCGGAAAGCGAGCCCGAAGCACCATATCAAAAACCGGAACCTGCAGGATGGATGTGAGCCACACGTAAACACTGAGTGTATCTATCGTACCGTGCATATTAGACATACTAGACGTATGTCAACCTGAAACTTCGTTTCAAATCTGTCATCGAACTAGTGCACTATGCATCACTTGATGTACTGGAGCTCGTTCTGGTACTGCCACTCACGGGAGTCAAGAGATCCGATAAACTGTCTAGCCTGGCCGAAATTTCCCGGGAATGCTGGTCTTGTACCAATAGAAACCTGTCCACTTTCGCCTCGATGCGGTGAAGAATTTGACTTTGATCTATCAGAATTTTTATCTGTATCATGTCTCAACTTGGCTTCGTATGGTATGGATATATATATATGCGACCAACCTCGAGTACTTCGCATGCGTCGTGAAGGACTCTTTCGCAGGTCTTGGCCTCGTCTTGTATCTCCGACAAACGGAGCAAGCGATTAAACTTAGACAGGTTCTCCATCTTGGCCATAGCATTCTCAATATCATGTAGGTTGCTGAGCGGTTATGAGATACGAAAGAAAGGAAGTCAATTACCACGTACCGGAGATATTGACCCACATGCTCCAGCGTACTGCTGGGCAGCACGTTGCCGACGGTGGCGCCTTCAAGTTCCTCGTATCTACCGCACGCACGCATACGAATCCCACGGCATTCTTCGGGCTGCTTAGAAACATCCTGGGTGATGACCGTGGATAAGTAGGGCTATACGACAGCACACTCAAGCTTACCTGATGCAAGTTCGAAACTTCGACAGCCGTTTCCAGGGAGCCTTCAATGATGGTTCCCACCACTGGAATGGTCTTCGCGGCTGGACGCGCAATCCTCAACAGTCTGTTGTATAGCTGAGAGCGTCGCTTGTGCCGTTGAGATTTGACACTCGCAGCATGTCCCACCCCGCCCTTTGAGGGCGAGGGTTTCGCTTGGGACATGGATCAGGGGCAAAGGGCGAACGGGGGTGTGCTTGGTTGCTGCAATGCTCGGTAAGTTATATCATTGCAATTTGACTGTGTTTGTGCCCGCCAATGCGCCTTCGAGCCTGGAAGGCCACTGCCATGCTATTTGTATGCTCTTCTCTCAGAGTGAGTGGTGAAGTTTGAACAGCAATCCGAAGGGTCGATAGCTTGTCCAGCTTCGGCGTATAGCGAGATCGGCTTTGATAAAGCCCAACGACATCTCATGGGCCATCTTTGAGTGCACGGGACTGACCCAGATCGCAGCTTCGCCATATGTCCGCGCTTCCAAGTTCAGAGTGTTACATAAAGTATTGAGAACGCTGTTTGAAGATAGGAACAATAAGGCGCTGTACGGTACACGGGTGATTTGAGAGAATCACCCGTCTTTGTGATTTGACCTTCCGTGAAAGGCAATAGATGGCTCTAGAAATTTCCGGTTAAGGCAACGTCGTGAGACATAGTTACCGATAATGGTAACCCTGAGTCGCAAAGACGGGTGATTCTTCTGAGTCACCCCTGTACCGTACAGCGCCTAAGTGCGCATGCGTAGTAAGGAACCCTGTTTGGGGTCCGGGACTGTGCTCCGGACCCCGCAAGCGCTCCAGCGTACTGTTCCCGCGTTGCCACTGGATTTGCTGTATTGCGCGTCTTCGACTACTCGCTCGTTGAGTGAAGCGACATACTAGTGCTGGACAGGCGCAAGCGGACGATCTCCTTGGGCACAACGATCGAGTAATCACACAGGTCGTTGGGAGACTTGCGGTGATTGCGCGCTTTGTAGAAGGGTACGTGCCCATGCTGGCTACGTCTTAAACTCATAGACCCATACATCCCTTGGTAGCTTGGCTGTGAAGTATGAATTCTTCCCGAACTTTTCGACCAGTCCCTCGTCGTGGAGGAAGCTGTTCACGATCCCCAGAAGGCGAAACCTTGATCCACCGCCCAGCGTCCTCCATAAGCTCTCTAGAAGCACCCGAACGTGCTATGTCACGCTCTTCGCGCGACGTATCCCCAGAACAGACGCATGACAGTCCCTCTCGTCCTCCCCGTTCCCCCGCTGCTCATTCACGGTCTGAATCCAATCGCAGACCCCGCTCCCTGCCTCCCGACTACCCAGCCCCTCCAACCACTCCACCATTCCCTGTATCCAGTCTTCCATTACCCGAAGGCACCCATCTGCTCGTCACGTCCGTCTCCGAAGACCCCCCTCCTCCCTATCCGACTCCTCGCCGCCCCCGTCGCGTGCGCAGACAACACCAACAACGCCGGCCGTCTGACCACAGCCAGCAGTCATTCCCCATCGACGTGACAGAGACGTCCCCGCTGCTCCCGGGGTCGCGGCGGACTAGGGGCCGACGCCAGCTGTTGCGAACCCGGACGCTGTCGGAGAGCAGCGCAGCACCATCGACCGCGCTAAGCGTCGCTCGCTCTGTGTATTCCTTCTTCTCGACGGACATCGATTCCGATTCGGAGAGCGAGGAGACGGAGCGGCATCAGGCGCTCGGCGAGGCTGCCAGTGCGCTCGCGCGAGTGGATGCACCCGAGGACGCGCCGCCCCTGCCCGCGTCCGAGAACACGTCTCGAACACTCAAGAAGTGCGGCATCCGGAAGTATTTCAAGCCGTTGATCCGGGCGACATACTGGAAGGCTATCTTTCACCTTCTGGTGCTCAACTTTCCCTACGCGCTGATAGCATGGATATACCTCTTCGTCGGGACCTTGGTGAGCCTCCCTTCTTAGTTCGCAATATAGTCTCTGACGGCGATCTGTATAGGCTGGAACTACCCTTCTGATGGCCCTTCCTCTCGGAGCGGTCCTCTGCTTTTTCAACCTCCTCGGCGCCCGTGCCTTCGCTCGTGGTGAGGTACGCGTAATCCTACTTCGTTCTGCTGTTCGATCCCTGATTCGCGTCTTCGTCTGGTCAGATCGCTCTGCAGACGACCTTCCATGGTCCGCTGCCGTACCTCCTCCCTCCGCCGATACCGATATTCAGCCGGCCTCGAACACGAGAGCTGACGACGGAGGAACTCGAGGCGGGTAGGATGCGCAATGGCGCGCGACGGATAGACGACCTCGACTCGGACGAAATCGGTTATGAGGGCGGGTTCTACAAGAACACGTACGCGATGGTGCGCTTCAGCTTTCCATCTTGCGGCTCAGGATGGTCGCTTATACGTACGACGGACAGTTCACTGATCCGACCTCGTACCACGCCCTGTTCTACTTTCTGGTGATCAAGCCCGCAATCACGCTGATCCTGACCGTCCTCGTGCTTGTGCTCCTCCCTGTACGTCTTCCTCACATCCTCTAACCGTGATCGTTACTAAACACAGTGCTCGCCAGACTTGCGGGGCGCTGATCCTTCCGTTGCCTGCGTTTATGCGCGCGATCAGACGAGTTGGGATGTGGCAGGCCGGCGTCGCTGTAGAAGGCCTTTGCCTCGGCGTTTCTTGAAGCTTGTTACAGACGTGTACATTCACTGCGATGTACAGATTCTCTCCACATCCGGCAAGCGTCCAGAAAAATAGGTCTGCTAATGTTGTACACCGATATACAAGGCACAAACGCGCTTGATTGATCAGGAATTTACTCGCGCCGACATCCCTAAAATCCATATCCTCCATGACCTTACGCAGCAATCCATCCTGGGATTTCGTTAGGATCAGAAGTGTCTGGGATTGTATTGTCATCAATCAATTTGTGTGCAAACTAAGGTCCGCTTACACATTACATGATCGGGAATGAGACTGTTAGCTTGTTCGTGAACATCTCCTATGTTGAGATCGGTAGGTACCCCTGTATTATATTATACGTGCATGCTGATGTGATGAACATGTGCAATCCGCATACTATTGTCATGTGGACCCCTCTCAATGCGCCAGATAATCCCAGCTCGGTTACACCTCTTGCCATTGTCGCATAAGCCAGTACCTTGACAATAATAAGCCACCGGAGAAAGGAACGATCAATGTGGTAGTTGTGGCACAAACACGTCTCATTCTACCAGGACCAAAGCCACCGATCGCCATTCAATTCACAGATACCGGCACTATGGCGGTGTAGGTAGTATTATCCGGCGCGGTCCCAATACTGGAACAGCCGGTTCCCGAGGCATCGACTTCCTCCGGTTCTTCATAGCAGTCACTCTGTAAATCAATACCAATCAGTGGCTCGTAAATGTCAGTCTATGAACGACTATCAGACCTTCACTTCGTTCAAGAAAGTAATTATTTCGCTTTGTGACTGTTCAAGTTCGCTTCGTAGAGCCGAGTGATTCCGGTGCCTTTTCAGAAGTTTCACGTGTCGTTCCTGCAACCTGAAGAAAGAGACATGGATCGTATGTTCAGATGAATAACAGTTTCTGTTGAACTCCCCATTTCGCCCTCTCTAGGTGTCGTTGCATGGTGCTTGCGCTGATGTGGTTGGAGGAGGATTTGAACATATTTAGCACTTCTTTGACTAAGGGGCCATCCGGCGGCAATTCAGGCTGCTCTGTATACCACTGGACGTTCCGGCGCGCGTCCGGTGGGAATCCTTCGTTGAAATCGGTGGAATCCGACGGCCAGCTGATTCCCTGGTGTCCAGCGTTCGCCTGGTTGGGCGTGAAGGGCGCCCTGCTGTGGCCTTTCATACGTCATGTGCCCATATCAATTTGCAAACATCGTAACACCATCCGCGGAGGAGATGCTGGGGCCCGTACTCACTGGCTCGTCCCCAGTAATCTGTGACTTCTTGTGCCTGTGATATCCTATCTAAGGAATTGTCTTGCAAGCCCGCTTCTACAGCAGAATGCTGCACGACCACGGCTTGTATACACCACAGCTTGTATTAGCTAACTATCATGCCGTGCGTGGAAGCTGTGACACACATGTTCCTTGAGAATGCGTCGACGATGTAACACATCGTAGCAGTTCTTGGATATCATGCCGCTGCTCGAACGCATGAGATATGGCGTAATTTGCCGTGGTGATTTACGCTCACCTTCACAAGCGCCCACAAGTCGTCATGACTAACGATTGCAAGCTCCGCGCTCGGATTCAGGTCCAGCATGTAGTCCGCCAAAGCGTCTAAATCGGTTTGCACCTGACGATTGCATTAAAGAGAATCAGAGATATTCTGAGGACGCGAATACATTACATGTCACTTACCATGTTCACTGGTCCGTCAGAAGCGACTTCAACACTGCTACGACTTCCAAACGTGGAAACCATATCTTGTGACGGTGGCCTTCCTATATAGTAGGGCGAGTCATGAGCTTCTGAACCAGCTTTCACTGCCAATCCACCCCAGCGCCTCTTCTTCACAATGTAGTAACGGATGAAAACGGTTTGGTTCATTTGATCGGAGATATCAAAATTTGCGGGAACTCCTGTCTGAGGTAAAATTTTGAACAAGCAGGCTGTCAGGATTAATAGTTTAATAATACAACCTGCCCACGCTTTACCTGAGAGTCAGCGAAGCTGGTAGACACGGCGAGCGATCGGCCGCCCATATGCGACATGACAACGCTAGAGCTCGAGCGAGTGTCGGTTATGGAAGGACCTGATCGATACTCGGCGTTTGGTGCCTGTTTCCAAGCCCTGGATATATCTGCTCCCGCCGTGAAGAAGCTTCCAAGGTTTAGGGTCAGTTTTGCCCCAGCCTGGGCCTGCGCCGCAGTTGCAGTTGCAAAGGCCCAGCTGCTGGTCTTCACCGTCCCATACACAAAGAGTAGGGTATCTGTCGAATACCCATTCGACGTGGCAAAGTCAAACCAGTGCCTCGCATGCTTGTTACAATGCCGCTTAATCCTTTCGAGCTGCCTGGCATGCTCGAGTTCGCCGCGCGGGTTGATTACTAAAATAGCAGCTTGCCTTCCGGCAGAAGAGAAATCAAATTCCATATCCCCTCCCGCAGGTAGGATATTTGGCGTGCTGAACTGACACTAAGCATAGGAGCAATAGGAGCAATTTCTTACGGTACCTGGCAGCAAGATTTCCGCTGTACTCCATGCTGGTATCCGAAAGATGTGGTCCTTGACTGAGAAAATTCGGCCTCTTGCTGATGTGTTCAAGGGGAAGGATCAATACTGTTAGGTGCCCTTGTACAAGGATCACGGCTGATAGCCATGCTACTGCTTGTAGTGAATTGCGACTATTTAGCCAGGCTCTGGACACGGCAGCGTATTGGTGGGCTGTTCAGCACGGCGCCGGCCCGCGGAGTTCAGATATTGGTATCCGTGCTTCTTTATAGCATTGCCGTGCTTCTTTGGAGGTGAGAATGTGGGAATGATCCAAGAACCCCATCCCTAGGCGTTTGGTAGGGCCTCAAAAGCCTCCGATAGGATCGGAGGAGCTGCTGCGTCCCACTGCTCGCTCGCTTAGCATGCTGGGTGGTTAGTAGGGCCTCGGTAGCTTCGGAGCAGTTCCGCCCGCCGCTCGGTTAGGGCGCTGGTCCCGCCCTCCGCTCGCTTAGAGCGCTGGTCCCGCCCTCCGTTCGCTTAGCGCGCTCTGGTCCCGCCCACCGCTCGCTTAGGGCACTGGTCCCGCCCGCCGCTCGCTTAGGGCGCTGGTCCCGCCCACCGCTCGCTTAGGGCGCTGGTCCCGCCCTCCGTTCGCTTAGCGCGCTCTGGTCCCGCCCACCGCTCGCTTAGCGCACTGGTCCCGCCCGCCGCTCGCTTAGGGCGCTGGTCCCGCCCACCGTTCGCTTAGCGCGCGCTGGTCCCGCCCACCGTTCGCTTAGCGGACTGGTCCCGCCCACCGCTCGCTTAGCGGACTGGTCCCGCCCGCCGCTCGCTTAGGGCGCTGGTCCCGCCCACCGTTCGCTTAGCGCACTGGTCCCGCCCACCGCTCGCTTAGCGCACTGGTCCCGCCCTCCACTCGCTTAGGGTGCTGGTCCCGCTGCTTATGGCGCCACTGCCCGCCTCCCGCCGCCATTGCCACATTCGTTGCGTAAGCAATCAGATGCAACATATACTTGATCATATTCGTCATGTAGATGTTCAACATTATGATCACGTGCCAGATTTCCTTTCTGAGATGGGCTCTGAATTTTGACAAGTCAGACCGCACAGTGACTTTGTGTTCAGTGGCATTGTATTCATAGTGTAGAGTGTCATGAGTATCGTGAATAAGTTTTCGTTACATGTATCTAGTATTCCACGAGTTTCCGGCTTCATCAATACTATCCTCGTCGTCGTCGGTGTCCAAGTCGTCTATGTCAACAGAGCCACGTGGTTCACGTGCCGTGACCGCCGGTCCGACGACTTCGGGTGCGGTGGCGACGCGATTCTCGACAGCAGGCGGGGAAGAAAGGCTGGAGGTACTGTTATCCAAAGGCACTGTGGAGATGGAAGTACGGGGACCAATGGCTGCGGTGTCGCCCTCGATGTGACTCACGACGTGGCTCGAAACGGCGGCCTTCGCGACGCTGTTTGAGCTGTCGGCCTCGTCGACGCAAATCGGGACATCGGCCTCGTCGACACGGATCGGAACGCCAGCCTTGTCGACGCGGTTCGGGATGTCGGCTTGGTCGACACGATGGGCGACGTTGGCCTGGTCGACGCGATGGGCGACGTTGGCCTGATCGACGCGATGGGCGACGTGGGCCTGGTCGACGCGATGGGCGACGTGGGCCTGGTCGACGCGATGGGCGACGTCGGCCTGATCGACGCGATGGGCGACGTGGGCCTGGTCGACGCGATGGGCGACGTGGGCCTGGTCGACGCGATGGGCGACGTCAGCCTCTTCGACGCGATTTGAGACGTTTGACTCCTCGATGCCGATTGGAACGTCGGCCGCAATGCTGTTCGTCGCGCTGGCCGCAATCGTGGCGTGGTCGCTGCTTGTGGCAGGGGGACTATTAGTATTGTATTCGCTCCTTGCCAAGGCAATGGCGACAGCATCTTGTTCCTTGCAACGTGTGCGAGGCACGGCGTACTGTATATAACGACCAATCCATTCCGCAGAAAACCCATGTTCGAGCATTATCGGGATCCACTGCCCTGCGAAGTTCCGTGCCTGCTTCCGCAGAATGGCAGCTTGCTTGTGTGCGTAAGCATGGAGACCGGCCCTAAGATGCGGTGGTGCGTCTCCACGGCGCGCAGGCTGCATCTTCCACCATGACGCTTGCCATTCGAACCAATGGAGGGTACGTCGCATTTCTTCCTGAAGCAAAACGACTTCTTCAGCCCATCGTGCCGCGCGAGCATCCGTCTTTGCCCACTCGGTGCGAATTTGCTCGTTGAGCTCCAAATCGGAGATGTCAGAAGAGGAAAGAGGGAGGCCGTTTGGAACAGGTGTCGTCCAGATCCAGGATTTCGCGTATTTTTGCTGCTTCTTGGCCACCCGGGTGGTTGTCGCATTGCTCTCACGTACTTGCAGGCGGACGCGTTGTTCGATCTCGTCGTCCTCATCCTGTCCGGGACCGCTGACATCCGCATCGTTCAGCTCCAGTAGATATGTCCTCCAGTTGCCTGTCGGATCAAGTGCTTTGAGCGCATTGAAGGCGGCACGGTACTTGTGCTTTTGGTTCTCCAGCTTGTCGGAAAAGCCCTTGATGATAGCCTGCGACCGCGTATTGGTGGATTGACCAACACCGAAGACATTCTTGCGCAACCGGGACCGGAGCCCCTGGTAGACGCGCCGAAGTCGGCGTATATCCGTGAGAGCGTCTTCAGCCTGTGCGATCCGCATTCGGTATTCGACCTTCGCAACATCAAACCGGCAGATGTCGGCACGGACCTCTGCTTTGACGCAGGAAGGCAAGAGAAGTCGCGCATTCTCGGGGTGCGCCCCTCCGAGGTGCTCGTCCGAGATTGGTCCGTCAGCAACGCCGTCTAAAGTATCCCGAACGCCCGGACAGTCCGGCATATACACGGCCTGCACCTTGAAGTAGTTGGCGAGGCTATGCTTGAGTGACACTCTCATCTGTTGGAGAGAGACCCTTTGCGCAGCGGTGCGTTGGGTTGAACTGGTTGCGCGAAGGCGGATAGCACGTCTGATGTGAACGGGTTAGGGAAGTTCGACAACAGTTGCGATGGATACATACTGCTTGTCCTCGAGCACGAAGCCCATTCTGATGAACTCCGATGGCGTTACCGATCCCTGCAGCAATGTCGATGGGGAGGTGGCCTCCTCGCGCAACAGCTCCTCGCGCAACGAGTCCAAATTACTTGCTAAACGTTTTCGTCAGCAAGATTCATAAAAGCGGCGCACAAGAGACTTGCCTGTCTCCGGTTCGGCGAAGGGATCCGGCTGTGAATGATCGTTCTGCCACGCGACTACCATGGAACGCCATTTCGCTACGATTTCAGATGGAAACGTCGCAGTGAAATTGTTGGCGATCTCTTGATAGGCGTCGCGAAGCTGCACGGCGTCAGGCAAGTGGGTGGTAAAGTGATGGCCTGCAGCCAATGAGCATCACAGTTCCTGACATCCACTCTGTGGAACGCACCGAGATTGACCTTCTTCCGGAAGTTTGCACCTCCAACCATGTCTTCGAGGACGAGCCTCCAATGCCCCAGTCCCATCTCGCGGATACTTGTAGCGGCGAGGGCGAGGTACGCCCAGTTTTGCTCAACACTTTCGCCGTGTGTGCGGCCGACACCGCAATTGACGTTGTAAGAGTAGCGTGTTTGACACGAGGCGCCGTGCGCATAAAGGTGAAACTTCGGGATGAATGCCCGGATGACGAGGAACCAGGGGATAAGAATGATTGCCGGAAGTAAGGCGAAGCGGGACCGCATGTTGACGCTGTAGATACACATGATGTCGTACGACATGTTGAGGACCTCGATATCTTTGCCGACGACGGAGAGGGCGGAGGCGACAACGAAGTCAATATTGGCATATCTGGGTGGGGTGCGAGCTTCAGACGATGCAAAAGGACATAAGCGGCAAACCGACAAAGGACGTACCGTTCCCCCTTCTGGAGTTCACCGATCCCGTTCGGCAGCATCATGACGTGGCGCGAGCAAACAACGCCGGCAATGCCGGTAGCAATAGTCTTGGAATTACCACGGGTGAGAGCCTGTTGAACGGCATTGTGCTGACTGCCGCATGGAGGAATCTGAGGACAACACGGTCAAAATTGAACAGAGGGAGGTGTCCAGCACACACCTCATCCAGCTGTGTCGCCTCCGAGATGTGCTTGTGATACGCCTCCGGCTCAACGAAATACGACCACCCTGACCCAAATTGCACGTCTTTGACACCGCGATCTTTAAGTTTGAGCTTGAAGTTTCCGTCGACTGCGATGAACAATGCGTATTTCCATCTGTACAGATTATAATGAGGAATGAACGTGCGCGATACATCCCGATCATACCTTTCGTCCGGCGGCAAGCTCTTCCAGTCGGCCGGCAAGTTGATATCAGGGTGCGGACACGATGGGCATTTGATGGAAAGGGCGCCACGCGGCGTGGATTGGGCACCTTCGGGGATGTAGCCGCTGCCGGCTCGCAGCAAAGACTTCAAGTGGCGCCATACTCGAACTGCAAACGAAACCGCATTACGGTGGTGCTAAATAGCCATCAATCTGTGGCATCCTCAGCGGTGCGACTCGGCATACCTTCACAGGCTGTAGACGAGCGTTATCAGCCTTGAATTCGGTAGCCTGGTAGTAATCCCAAAGTGTCGTCTTGGCCGTAAGCGACAAAAGATGGAAGGTGTTGAGGTAGTCGAAAGTGATAGCTGTACGGGGGCATTGCCATGATGCGGGGAACCATCGCGTTCGGAGTAGTTGGATATGAGGTTCGACGCCAGAGCAGCCACAGTATAACACCTTGACAAGATGCGAGCCATTTGTGTGGACAACAGTGAACTTCGAGTGAGCCGGGATGGGCGATACACACATTCGGCCAGGTGAATGGCCAAGCTGAACAACAAGGCTGCAGTCTCGGAGCGTTGCTCGCTCGAAATGAGTGCCCGTCCATTTCTATGAAGAGAGTTAGACGACATCTCTGCATCGGAATGTAGGCTCACCTCAATACTGTGAAGCGGAAGGCTTCGATGGACGTCGGCAATGCAGGATGAGCAAAGGAGGTCGTCGCCAATGCATTCGCAGCAACGCAGCTCGCCCTGGCGCTGCCCGCATTGGCAAAGCTCTATGGGCTTCGAAGGAGCTGTCATTACGTGCAACTCCTCCAAGTAGGTCTGCCGATGCGTGTCCACCCACGACTGGAGGTGGGCCTAACGATATTGACTCAGCTCTACTGACTATTAGACGAGGAGCTGAACGTACCGTGACGGAAGAGTAAGTCTCCCTCTTTTCGTTGTCGTTCTCATCAGAGACGGTGAGGGGCACGGTGTCCATTTCGACGAAGAATTCACGAAGGTTCGGCAGGGTGTCCGCGCTTGGCGCGCTGTCAACCTTGATTTCAGGAAATGTCGAGACAGGTCTGGATAGCGAGGGCGTCATTGTCGTGACGGCCTGAGACCCCAACTTCCCGCCGGGTGTTTTGCGGAGCATTGCTGTCCGTACTGCGCGTACTTCCTCCTTCTTGCGCGGCGGAGGTCGAGAGCTGTGAAGTTTGCTTCGTTTGAAGGGAGCACTATCGTCAGGCGCTGCGCGTTTACCGGCCATTGAGAGGAAGGAGAGCAAGCTTGAAAATTGCTACGTGGCAAGCCGAGAGGATGACACAGCCCGGCCCGAGACCCATGAACCAATCGGACACCAGCGGCTAGATTCCTGGGCTGACGCCCACACATATACACAGCCGATATCTACTCTTCATGGACTACTGATTAGCAAGGAGAGAGTCGTAAGTTTACACATCATCATAGGTAAAGTTGTCGAGCACTACCTTATATGTTCGAGATGCAAGATCTCGATTTTGAACGAGATCACAGTGAATCCACGACGGCTACAGGTAATATAGTCGGCCAGGATTGATTTTGCAACTTCGATATGGTATTCGTGAGGCGGGGTTGAGAACGCATGCGGATGTTGTGCAGACATCGACCGTAGTACTGCGCCGTGTAACTTCTGATCAGTATGAAACAAAATCGGGTGATCAATGCTACTGATCGCAACCGATAAACATCGAACGTACTGGCGAGGTGTTACTACAATGAACCGAAGGCGTATGTTGCGATAACGGTGAACGTACGTGCTAGCCCTGCAACATCCGGACCAAACCATGCACAAATCGATTCCTCTTGTTGTTCATGTCGTCTGCTTGAATCCGCGATGTATGTGTAAACACAATCGGAGATGAATTGCAGTCGTTAGAACGAATGTTGCCTGAGTATGTCGAGTACGTTAGCCCTTCGAACAGGACTCATGTAGCCGTTCGTCCTTGGTGTTGGTGCCCGGTATTGCCAGAGTTCGCGTTAGCTAATCTTGAACAGATAAGTCGTTGATAGTTTGAACATAGTGAATGCGCAAGTAGGATAGAACGAATTGCGTGTCAACGTTGCATCCCTGCTCTTGCACGGCGCGTCGTCGACCTTCCGCTCGTTGACCACAAACTTGCGATGACATGCTTCACAAAGACATAGTACTACTCCAGCATATACTCAGCTTATTTGGCTACTTCTATGGTATGCAATATGTTCACCAAACCTGCGCAAGGACCTTTTGGGATACACATACTCGATCTTCAACTTGCATGACTTAAGTCTCACATCCAGCTCGCTCAGAGCAACTCAGTTTCGCCACCACGAACAAAGTGAGCCAGACAATGGCAGTATATTGATCATAAGGGTCGTTACAGACACAGAATTCGTTAGGGACACATAACAACGCGGCACAGACAACATTTTGACGAGGAAGGCGACGCGAGAGGATGACCGAGAGCGACTACAGCAACTACAAGATGTACTGCTCGAATGCGGGGTCGTCGCTGACCTCAACCCAAGCATGATTCAGCCAAACTCGAACAGCTTTCGCAGCCAGCGCTTGCTCGAAGATTTCCTCGCCTTCCTCGCGGCTCGCGACCTGAAGGCAAAGCGAGTCCAAAGGTAAGGTATGAGGCTTTGCTATGTGCCTGTACCCAGAATGAGCGTGACCCTGCAAACAAGGACTACAACTTACCAGCCTCTTACGACACCAACTCTGTTACCCATGGTAATAACGTACCAGCGAAGGCGAGCAGGAACTTCAGGCACACGAACGCTAGCGGCAGACTCACCCCCAGAGGGTTCATTACCAGGCGCAGCACCACTACTGGACGCATCGGAAGAGGATGGTGTCGCTTGCTGAGGCGGCAGCTGCGTTACAACCCGAGCCACCGAAACTGGCGACGAGACCGGCGCATTCGGAATCGACGACGCGGCTGTGCCAGTGCGGATGGCGATTCCTCCACGAGATCGGAACAAATTCTGAAAGATGTAGTGAGTACAACATTACTAAGTTATAATCTTACTGACCATAGCATAGGATGGCTTCGAGACGTCGATGGGACCACAGACGTCGTCACAGACTCTGAAGTCGGGCGGGGGCAGACGCGATGCGCTCTTGCCTGTATCACGACGTGGCTGAGGAGGAGGCGTCAACGGAGGTGGACCTGTAGGCTGCGTCCTATGTGCAGGACGCACGCGGGCCGAAATACGGCCCTCCTCGGGAGTGAGAGTTCCGGTCGGAGATTCACGTGGCGACGAGGCAGCCGTGGACGAGGTACTCTCACTGGCCCGGCTCAAGACACCTTCAGGCCCGTCAAGGACAGGACATGTACGTGACATAATGACACTCACCTTCAGCGACCAAAAGCATCTGACGTATTTGCTGTATCAGAGAGCAGAGCTACGACCAGTCTTCAACATACGGCTACGTCAGAAGGGGATAACCGACTTACCTCCTGCTGCGCGTCTGCGTCGTTATTTTCCATGGTCATCGTAGAGATGGGCGGGAGGAAAAGAGGGAAGGAGTTGACGGCAAAGGGAGGCGTGTTTTTATTTCTCAGCCGTATCACGTGTAGGTCGCTCTTACGTCCTTGGTTTCCCCTCGTCTTCACCGCATGGCAACAGCGCAAGACGACTTTCTCAAGTCGTATATCCCACTTTACGTCTCATGCCAGTCCACTGGCGGTTTTCAGGACTTCTGGACAACTATTGGGCGAGAATATCACGCCAAATACCCCATCGTCCTCACTGCGGATGATGTAGCAGCAGCCGACGGTGATCGTGAGCTGGCGTTCCAGAGACGCACCGACAAGGACTTAAAGGTATACTGAATATCTATCTCTCCGCTGCGCATGATATTCATGGGCCATTACCAGTATATCAGAGGCTTTTTTGCAAATGGAACTCGCACGGGCATTGTTGGCAAAGGCGGGGGTCAGCTGATCCTTCAAATATGTCGGGCCAGTAGCAAGCCAGAGAAGAAGCGTACTCGCAAACCCCTTCCTTGGCAAACGTATGCAAAATACATCGACTTCCGGAATAACTTGGCCCTCAAAGCCGAGTTCGCGACCGAGTACGCCGCGCATTGCGGTGCGCTTCCAGCAGGCGCTGCGAAGCCGCGAGAATTGACGGTCCTGGGGAGATGGCTGACTCAACGCCTCGAGTTGGAAACAGAAGAGGTGAAGAGTCACGTCGAGGAGCTGCGTCATGCCAAGGGTAGCGAGGTTGACGAGGATGTCAACATGACCGAGGACAACGGCACACTGCAGTCTAATGAGGAGACTCCTCCGCAGCGCAACAAGGAGGATCCTCCACCGGACCCAATATCCGACCCGGACCAATATCAACGGTACGTCTCAGATGACTGTTCCGTCGTCGACAAGTACTGACATCTTGTTAGCCTCTGCGACAGCATTCCGAAGGTTCTCATGACTGTTCTAGACTCATTGACCGTCGAAACCAAATGGTCTTTTTGTGTATTCGCCTGCGGTCCTGAGCCAAAATTCAACACCGTCCCGAGGTCCTATAGGTGCGCCGCTATGCTCGTTGACAAGTTCTTCACTCATTTACCACGCAGCTACGCAAATGGAGGGACTTCTACGCTTCCGCATATGTTTAATGCCAAGAAAGACGTGTGGCGAGCATTTCAGCAGGAGTGGGATCGATGGGGTGCAGAACGCTATCGTACGCTCATCCATCTATAGCTACTAAACATCTTTTTGACATCTGTACAGCAAATGGCTGGTCCGGTATCTCCGACGCCATCGACAAGTTGGTCGAAACGGGCATGACTCGCGACGAGGCTATTGCAAGTCTGGAAATCATTCCCAAGGAGACTGATCCAGAGCCTGGCCCCAAAAAAGGTCGCCGTCGCCGTCGGATTGCAGCCCCATCCGAAGATGTCACAGCTGGTCCCGCTACCGATGATCCTTTGGATGCCGGGGGTGCTGCCACTGCACCCGATCGACCACGACCTCGCCCGATTGGTGGTGGCAGGTCGCAGTCAACTGGGAGCACCATGCCCACTCTTCACAATCGGCCTCTTGGCATGAACGAGGTGCAGCCAGACGTCAACACCCCGTCTCCGGTCGGCGGTCCGGCACAGAATGCAACCCCTCCGCCACGCGCCCCGAGCGAGCAGCCTGACGCGTACGACAGGGGACTGGACGCCAACACGCCGCCTCCTGTCGACGGTCCGCCACCGGAGGCGACCCCTCCTCCACGCGCCCTGAGCGAGCAGCCCAGCGTGAACAACGCGCGGCCGGATGCCGATACGCCGCCTCTCGTCGATGGTCTGACCCCTCCTCCACACGCTCCGAGTGAGCAGCTCGGCGCGAACAACACGCCGCCTCCCGTTGATGGTCCGCCACCGGACCCGACCCCTCCTCCATGCGCCCCGAGCCAGCAGCCCAGCGTGAACAACGCGCAGCCGGATGCCGACACGCCGCCTCCCGTCGATGGTCCGCCACCGGAGGCAACCCCTCCTCCACGCGCCCCGCGCGAGCAGCTCGGCGCAAACAACGCGCCGCCTCCCGTTGACGGTCCGCCGGCGGACCCGACCCCTCCTCCACGTGCTCCGAGCGAGCAGCCCAGCGCGAAGAACGTGCAGCCGGATTCCGACACGCCGCCTCCCGTCGATGGTCCGCCACCGGAGGCGACCCCTCCTCCACATGCCCCGAGCAACCAGCTCGGCGCGAACAACGCGCCGCCTCCCGTTGACGGTCCGCCGCCGGACGTGACCCCTCCGACTCGCGCTGCAGGTGCTGAGCTTGACGCGCTGTCTGCTCCCACTGAACAGGATGCGGGTTCTGCTGCTGCCTACTTGCCAACGTGGCAAAGTTGGGTCTTGGGAGCTGATGAAAGCTGGCGTTCGGTCTTGTCGGACATCCAGGCAGACGATCTTCAAGATTGTCTCAATCCCCTCCTTGATTCATGGGTAGCATTCGAGGCTTCACGCGGCTACATCGACGGGAATCGCAACATGAAAACAGCATTCCGTCCCGCTCAAGTTCTTTGGTGGATGAACAGCCTTCGTGACCCTGACGCCATCCCGGATATCAACGACTTCGATGTTTTCGTCACGAACTGGTGGAAATGGCTGCATGTGCTGTCGCCAGTTTGGCGACAGCATCCCAACTTCGAATCGCCGTTCCCTCCGTTCACACACGATATTCCGGAAGCTGCTGAATGGGGATATCTCACGCAGAGTGGCTCCAAGGGGATGGTTCTCGTCGTTGCCACTGTAGTATGGTGGGGCACGGCAGTAGCGCTTCAGCCCGGAGACAGGACTTCCGGCTGGCTAGCGGCTATACAGGAGCTAACTTGGGTTCTTCAGAATGCTGCCCCCCTCTCGTCTCGCACGCCTTTGACCCGTCCTCTCGCCTCTGCCGACAGTGCAAACAAGAAATCGGCAGTGTCGCGGCCGCGTGTACCAGCCAAAAGGGGGCTCAAACGGAAGGCCAATGAAAATGCCGAACCCAAGCCGTCGAAGAGGACCCGTCGCAAATAGTTTCGGCTTTCCATATGTACCTTATATATCGAGTGTATTGCTGGACTAATCTACATGCGTCGTTTGGATCGTAGTATCAGCGCGTAACTTAGCCAAATGACGGTGTTCTTCCTAAAAAGGAAAGTCATACACGTGATATCAACAAATGTTTTCGAACACGTTGAAGTGTGATAAGACTCAGCTGCACTGACTCAGAAATCAAAGTAGCAGGAAGATATGACATACGAGGAGAGTACGCGGGTCAGCGAAAACAAGAACAAGCATGAAGAGCGTGCCCTGTCAGATTTGGAAACGGCGTGAGAGCGCGCCCTGTCGGGTTTGAGATGGCGTGAGAGCACGTCATGCCAAATTGGGACAACACGTGGAAGCTGCACACGAATCTCAGGGTATGCTATGTTACACGTCTACAAGGCCCCGATACATTGGACAGAGTATGAAAGCTGCAGGCAAACACAAGCGATGGGAGGCGGGTAGCCGGCGGTGGCGGTGGCGGGCGGGTGGCGGTGCAATACGGAGGGCGCACACGGCGGCGGGCGGGTGGCGGTGCAATAAGGGAGCGGAGGGCGCACACGCTAAGCGAGCGGAGGGCGCACGCTAAAGCGGCGGCGGGCGGGTGGCGGTGCAATAAGGGAGCGGAGGGCGCACACGCTAAGCGAGCGGAGGGCGCACGCTAAAGGCGGCGGCGGGCGGGTGGTGGCGCAAATGTTCCGAAGCTATCGGGGGCTGCCGGGGGCCTACCAACCGCCCAGGCACGGGTTCGGATCCTCCGAAGCTATCGGGGGCTGCCGAGGGCCAACCACCCAGGCACGGGTGTTGCTAAGCGAGTGATGGTACGGCAGCTCACCGGCATTGTTCTATAGCACCCGAGAATCGTAATCAATGTCTGATCAAGGCAGCCCTGATGCACCGCCTTACCGCCTTTACGACTAAATAGCCGTGATGCACTACAAGCGGAGCCCTGGCTATTAGCCGTGATGCTTGTACAAGCACAGCTAACACGGCTGCACAGTTCGACGGAGAAAGGAGGAGGATGAGTCGTTGTTCAAGGGCGCGGGTCACGAGTCAAGGTAGTAGGCGAGAAGAACGGCGCGAAGTGCGGCCGCAAGGGCGACCAGGGACGCTCTGGCATCGGCCGAGAGCATGGTCAGGGGACGTTGAACGTTCGACACTGAGCGTTGAACGTTGAGATCTAAGTGATGGATGGTCAACGTACATGTAGAGGCAAGGGTGGCCTTATATAACAGACATCCACAGTAATCCTCTTGGCCTGCAGTGGTCCCAGGTAGCCGCAGCCGAACGGACACAGTGTCTGCTGCGTTGCTCCCAAGAGCACAACGGATACAAAGTATTGCCAGAGAGCTATCTCAGCCTAGATGCATAGTATGTCGAACAAGCCGTGTCGGGAATCTCCGAAACAGCTCTTGGCTGCTCTAACATCATCGTCACGTCCAACCCATGCTGCCCGCCTTCTCCACCTCGTGCAACGAACAACGTCTTTCTGATATAAGAAACGCATCAAAGCCGCTTGGAATATAACCACATCCACCCTCACAGTCACAATTTCCGAGTCAACGAGTCAACCTGGCTGCCTCCACTCGATCTTTATTTTACTGCCTCTTCACAGGAGCCTTTGTCGTTCTGGTCTACCACTTCTCCTCCCCGTCCCTCGTACCCGAATCTATGAGCTGGTCGTCCAAGTACGAAGGCTGGCACACCCGTGCGCGATTGCACCCGGACCCGGCGTCGTTCACACCTATGCGCGACGCACTCCAGTTCGCCGCGCTGTATAACGCGCCGGCGGAACCGGACGGCTTCAGTCTCGCCGTCTTTCAGCCGGGCTCGGACGGGGATCTCGTCGCGGTCGACGCGCTGGGCAAGGTGCTCGTGCTCGATCGTGACGACGCGGAAGGCCTGGTCGGCCTGTCGAGCGCGACGACGCTCCTGCCCAAGACGGGCGCGTTCCGGAACCAGTGGCGCGTCCGGAGCGCGATCAGCTCGCGGCCTATCGACCGGATTCTGGTGAACATCAAGGGCGAGGCGGGGTTGGTGGAGACCGGTGTGTACGCGTTCGCGAAGGGGGAAAGGAAGCTCGAGAAGGATGTAGAGGGAATTGACGAGCTGCCGGATGCACTGTATGAGCTCGTGGGGCTGGTGAGGGAGGGGAGGGAGGGGTACAAACGCGGTCAGGGGGATCAGGAGGTTGTGAGAAGGGTCAAGGGCGTGCTTGGTGAAGATGTATAAGCCCTCGTGCGTCCGAGAGAGCAAGGTGAGCCATCCGTTGCTCCTTTCGTTGTCGCTGACTGAACCTGTTTGTTTTTCTCTCGCAGCGAACAGGCGTTCTCATCTGCAAGTGAAGTCGGACAAGGCGGCATCTTGAGAATATGCACGGAAGTACGTTTTCCTATGGCATGCGTAACGACTGAGCCTGTATCACACGTAATACGCCTTGTACAATATATCGAGATGCGCCTCCATTAGATCTCTCTCACCCGTCTTTACGGACCCTTCAGTCCTTGCCAGCGCTCTGATTGGCCAAACACAGCCACCGATGTTCCGGAAGCTGCTGCCGGCAATTCCGTGCCCGCCCATCTCCGGATGGCAACGTTGGGCGCGTTCGTTCCCCGCACTTGCGACTTCACACTGAGCTTCGAACATACGTGACCCACCCGAATACACGCATTGGTCATCCCCGAGGTCATCGTCGTGCTTATATAGCCTGCTACCTGCTCGGAGATCCTCATAGTCACAAGCCCACTTGAGCTTGTCTGCCAACCAAAGCGACCTCTTCAGTCTGTGACATGTGGAATCAAAGTACCAGCGACGACCGGGACTACATTGCGCTCGCCGACCATGGATTGTGCGTCGCGATGCCTGCGCCGAATGCAACTTGACATGCTGATCGTGCGTGTGCGCTAGGATCGGCAATCTGAGGACCGCGGCGTTGGTTAGCATAGACGGATCCAGTGAGCGTCATGTCATGCTTCGAGTTAACGCCTCCCAGTATCATGTCGTTCGTACCGGACGCCGTCCATTCAATGCGATGTTTCCCCTATCGCACATCACTCCTTGCACTCTAACTAGCATGTAACTGACCGCGGCCGTAGTCGAATCGTACTGCGTTCCAAACTTCGACTCGCCCTCGATTTTCGCTCGCATCCTCGACAAAGACAAGGGAGGGCACTTCTCCATCACGCCCACCGAGCCGTTTGACGTCAAGCAAAACTACCTCCCCAATTCGAACGTGCGTAACACCACCTGCCTAACCCCCACTATCGTTTCCCCTCCCCCCCTCCATATATACACGTATCGTTAAAACACGTTGTCCAACAGATCCTTCAAACCAAGTTCCTGAACGAAAACGGCGTCGTCGCGCTCACGGACTTCCTCCCGCGCGGCTCGAAGAGCTCGCCGCTGCCGCTCCTGCCTTGGCTCGTGCGCAAGGTCGAAGTCATCCGCGGCGTGCTCCCGCTTCGCGTCGAGTGCGCGCCCGCGTTTAACTACGCGCGGGACACGCACGAGGCGAAGATCGTCGAGGACAGCAGCGTGCCGTCTCCTGCAGGCGGCACGCCGCAGAAGAAGGTGAGCGGAAAGACGGCCATACATCGTTGTGCACGGCAGAAACGCTGACGTGGCTTGAAAAAGGTCTTGTTCACGTCGGAGAAGTTGAACCTCGATCTGCGGTATGTCGTCGGGTGCTCGATTGACGATGTGCCGGTACCGGACGTGACGCTGGAGCTGCTCGATCTCACCTCTAAGGGACACAAAGGTGATGCTTTCCATTTCTGATTATCGCGACCACGGCTGACGCGAAGGGCACCTCATGCAGGCTTATCGGCCGTGACGAACCTGTCTTTGACCGAGGGCCAGAGCGTGACGTTCGTGCTCCGGTACGCCGATCCGGCGGACGTCGACGGGAAGATCAAGTTAGCCCAGTTTGCGCAGAAGGTTCGTCGTCGTTCCTACCGCATCGGGCCCTTGGCGGTTTTGAGGCTGACGAACGGTCTGAGTAGGTGCAGACGGAAGTGGGCGAGGCGCTGAAGGCGAAGGACGTCGAGCTCAACCTAGACCGTGCGCCCAGTCTCTGTCGCTCACTTCGCAGGTTCGATCGATGACGAGCTGCTTTTGAACGCAGGAATGCACATCGGAGCGTCCAGTCTCCGCGCGCCAGACGACCCACTGCTCACGCAGGTGAGCACCCGCCACCGATGACTTTCTCGCGTCTCTGACTCTCATCGATCCCCCCAGGACTTGGTCAACATTTTGCTCACGGTGAGAGCAGGCCCGTCTCGAACGTGAAATGCCTGTTTTATTTGGCGACTAGGGCACGAACAAGTACTGGAACGCGTGGATCCGGCGGTCAACATACAAAGGCTCCTGGAAGGAGGCCGTCAACCGCAGCGCACTGGCACTCAAACTGCTCATCTATGAGCCCACGGGTATGCACCCCGTCTCCTCTACCTCGCTCTGAATCTTGATGCAAGTATTTTGTGAGTGAAGGCGCCGTCGTCGCGAGTCCAACGTTTAGTTTGCCCGAGTATATCGGGGGGACGAGGAACTGGGATTACAGGTGCGCCATATCCACTAGAGGCGGTTCTGATAACAAAGTCGGTACAGGGCATCGTGGATCCGTGACGCCTCTTTTACTCTGTATGCGCTGATTCGGCTCGGGTTCACGCACGAGGCGAACGGTGAGTGTAAGACATGCCGAAGATCACGTTGAGATAACTGATGCCCCGCTTTCCCTGACAGCTTACGTCGATTTCATCTTGGAGCGCGTGAAGGACAAGAACCCGGACGGGTCGCTGCAGATCATGTCGGACATCAGTTCTCCAAGTTGCCTGAAGCTCTTGCTGATCCCGGAACGCGCAGGTATACCATCCACGGGGACAAGATCTTCCACGAAGTAGAGCTGCTGCACCTGGACGGCCATAAGGGATCCAAGCCTGTCCGGTACGTTGCCAGGTTCAAAGAGCTCCGTGTCTGTGTCCTTGATACTTTTTGGGTCGCAGAATCGGGAATGGGGCGATTGATCATTTGCAGCTGGTAAGGGGCCCGTTTTGATCCCCGCGTTCCTGTTGCTGATGTCCACCGTGACAGGATATTTATGGTGAACTGTAGGCATCTTCCGTATCTCGGATCATCGAGGTTCTCATCCATTCCAGGCTGGACTGCATCTACCTCGGGCAGAAGGTAAGCGTCAACCAAAATAACATACATCGATTATCAGCTCATGTTGCATCAGTTTGGCAAACCCTTGGTACGTTAGATGTACGCTCAGAGTGCGAAGATTGTAACTGAAGACTGGGTCCTTCAGTCCTATGATACTTGGTAAGTATAGTCAGTCGCGGCGCGTGCTTACACTAATCGTCCGAAGGGTGGCAGTCCGTGAACTGTAGGTCATGTCTTTCTTTGCTACATCAGCGAAGTCTCACTATCGATACGTACTTCCAGCGTCGATTGTGAGCATGACTGTGCCTGTGGAGAGGATCTATGCTGAACAAGCCCAGACGTTGTCGCTCATTACAATGAGCCTGACCTGTATGTTGAACTCGAGCCCCTCAACGCGAAGATGTGGCTGACATGAACGTATTCAGCTCGATCTGGTATAGTTGTCGTCGCTGTATTCGGCATTTTCCGTGATTGAATGAGGAATGTAGGGAGGTTCGGAACAAGAAGCGGCATTTCACGGTAAGCCTTGGGTTGCTTTCGGGTTTGCTCTCGGCTTACGCATTTGTGGTACAGTACTCGAAGGTGAGGACTACCGTTTTCCTGCCCAAGCAAACCTGATCCAGGTGTTGCTCGGGACAGATCATGATGTGGTGAGCCTTTCCTGAGACCGTCTTCCAATCGACGTCTGGACTCACCTTTCATCAGGGTCGCCATTGATCGAGGTAAAGGACGAGAACCGCCCCTCAGACTTTCCTGGAGTTAACGTTCATCAAGGTCTCCGCCTGGCCGACAAGCGCTCTTTGCCCTGCCCGAAGCGGCTGGAATGGCTCGCTGCGCGGGACGACATCTATGAGCAGATCATGCACAAGGCATGGAACCCGGTTGGCAAGTACTTCGGACAGAGCTACGAGCAGTCTGATGTTCTGGACTCGTCTGTCCTCATTATGCCGCTCGTGTTCTTCTCCTCTGCTGTAAGCGGCTCGAGCCATCTTCAGCCTGCGAAAATGATGAATATCATCGACAGCCGGACCCGCGATTCATAAGCACGCTCCATCAGATCTTGAAAACGCCCCAGCGAGGAGGTCTCACTTCAAATGTATGCAACCAGTTTTATGCGGAGAGGATCACTATGACCTATGACCTGCCCATAGAATTTGGTCTACAGATATGATGTGAACAAGGCGAGCGACGGTGTTGGAGGAGAGGAAGGCACCTTCTGCCTCTGCACGCTTTGGTAGGCGTCCGTCATATCTTAACATCGCACTCCTGATCTGATGGAGTCGTAGGTGTGTTGAAGCGCTGACTCGTGCTGGCGAATACGACAAGGCTCTTTTACAAAGAGCTGTCAACATGTTCGAGGTGAGCTCCCCTCTCCTTCATGGTTATCGACATCGTAAAAATTCGTCTACAGGACTTCTTGCAATATCTTAACCACGTCGGTCTGGCCACCGAGGAAATATCTGATGCTGGAGAAGCGTGAGTGCCTCTCGTGTCCACGGCTTGGATAGCCTCTCATCCGCATCTCGTAGGCTTGGGAACGCCGTCCAAGGGTTTACGTGCGTGGATTGCTCTCCTCAACACATCATTCTGTGCTCACTGAAATTGCAGTCACGTCACGCTCATCTCTGCCGCTTACAACCTCTCGAGGACGTTGGAAAAAGTGAGCCTCTGAATATCGTCATGTTTCTTCGAATTTCCACTGGGTTTGTTGTTCGTCATCAACTTTACATGTCGTGGAGATTTGGCAAGCGTATGTACAACATGTAGACTCTACGCACAACAAAGGGGGGGGGGGCTTTTAACGCTGTTGAGAAGCTGATGCGTTCACTTTCCTGAGCGCATTGAATGCGACTCATGACGTACGCGGCATGACGCATGAAAGATTGATGGCCACGCGCAGCTCACGGTCAGTGCTTGCCTACGACTATCATAACGCCACACACATATCAAGGCTCGCGAGCCAACCCGCATGTCGCAGGTGCCCCTCAGCGGCACACCCAACGTTCAATTAACGTCCGCGGAACATTTCGGACACGAGCAAAGTGAGATACTGCCACATCGATCACGGTGCGAGCAGGAACTCACAATTGGCAGATGATTGCGGCGACCTTCTGGACTCATTCGCCGCGTTAGAGCTAGACAAGGAACCCCGGCTCGAGAACAACGCCGGTGCCCTGCCTGCAGCACAGTCGAACAGTGTACCAGCAGAGTTGACCGATGCGCTCGGGGCTCTCAGGATCTCGGATCTCGCTGAGAACGATGCTAGCAACCGTGTGCTCGGGGATGTCGACGCGCCGGCGTCCATAACACGGTTCCCTACCGAGCTCCTGGAGCACATCTTTGCGCTGGCAGCTCTATCCACTCCGCGGATCGGGCCCCATGACCTCCTTCCGGTCCATCCATCATTCCAGATATCCGGAGTGTGCCAGCGATGGAGGTCGATCGCCCTCGGGATGCCCGCGCTCTGGGAAGTGGTCGATCTGTCTGACGATGCCGAGGCGACGACACTACGGGCACGCTTGGTTTTGTCCAGATCTCGGAGCCGCGAGTTGGAGGTGCGTGTGGCGCACGATATGCTGGTCATCGCCAACGATCTATTCGGCGCCTCTCGAGCGTTCGACAGGATCCGTGCTCTGGATCTCTGGAGTCCGAAAACTGGGCTCATTCCGAGCGCACCCGATCTCGGCGCTGAACCGCTTGAAGTCCTCCTGAGGTGCTCGACGAACGTGCAGACAGCTTTCATGTCGGCCAAGTTCCTCCTGCGCTTCGGCGGGTTTGCAGACTGGCCGCCCATCTCTTTTCCTTGCTTGGAGAGCGTGCATCTGTATACCATGGCTGTCGACCCGCAGAGCTTTGATTACACGTTGCGCCCGCCCGTCCCAGATCTCCCTCGGCGTCGATATCCGCTACTAGGCAAGATCGCGCTACCGCAGAACGCTCGGATCGTTCTGCACAACGACGAGCTGAGCCCGTACCCCGTCCGACTGGTCGATATCCGCAACTTCTTCCGGGACGACGAGCCCGTCAAGACGGTACGAAGCCTCCGGCTCGTCAACATACGTACGCGGGACGCCTTCGGCGGCGACTTGCGATTCATACGGACGATGGTGGAGTCGATGCCGAACATCTCCGAGCTCGCCTTCGTCTCGTGCGACGAAGTGAACGAGTTCAAGCAGCTGTCGCAGGGGATCGTGTTGCTGGTCTATCTCCACCTCGAGGACCTGCATCGGCGGAGCGAGGGCGTGCCGAGGCCGCGCGCGCAGGCTTGGCCGCTGCTCTCGACCTTGACCATTCACGGGACGAACATCAGTCCGCAGTGGCTTCGCCAGTTCCTCGATATCCGGGCGGAGATCGAGTGTCCGATGAGAGTGCTCCGGCTTTCTGCCGCCACGGTCGGAAATTGGAGAGAGTGGGAGCTCGAGCTGTTGCGCAAAGTCGTTACCGTCGAGGTTCTCGACGACTCTGAAGGTGAGCCTCGCCCCATTGTCCGGTAGCACACCCGCCTTTACTCACCGAATATCTCGTCGTCCTCATCTTCTGAAGGCGGATTCGATGGTATCTAAACGTGTCTTCATTTCGGCATCATTTAGGGCGACGATTAAGCTACGAGATTTCATATGCTCTATCCGTAAGCCTATACACAATACAGAGCGCGCAGACTCATCCATATGTCAATTACTGCTCGTGGACAGGCAAATGGAGATACTACAGGGTGGCCTTATATATATTCTCCCTCCGGCTCGGATCTTGCATGACTACATCCCGCGCCCAGACTTCAGAGGTACGAGCGAGCGTTTTAACCTCGACAAAGGCGTCACAAGGTATTCCTGCCTGCGCGTACGACAGATCATGAATCGGCTCTCCGCATGGCCCATAATTTGGAATGCATGGACACGTGGTCACGTTCGAGCTGGTCGTGATTTTACGGGTGCCCCCACGAGTTTGCGACCGAGCTCACGGGAGCGCACATGGATGGGCTCGGCAAACCCGATGTCGAGCGCGTTGTCGTTCGACCCCGTCTTCTGCGAAGGAGGAACTGTGCCCCCCCCCCCCCCCCCCCCCCCCCCCCC